CAGAACAGTCAAAATGATTCTTTTTCCGATACGCGATAGAGGGCGCAGGCGTGCAACCTTCTTTGCTCGAGTCGAGCGGTGATTTTCGGATGATTGACTCGCTCTGCCACCCCTCCCGGCTGCCGATGCAGCGGCGACGGCAATGTCCACTCGTTGCTGATGTTCGACGAGAGCAAGCCAGAAGAGGTCAAGCGTGTCAAGCAGTTGGTCTACTCTGTGAGTGCGTGCGAGCGAGCGCGCGCGCGCAGCGAGCAGGGGCGGAGCGAAAATTTCCGCCTTTTCCCTACACACACACACACACACACGCTTGACATTTTCTCTTACTGCTTGCGCGCGCCCTTTCCCTCCCCCCCCCCCACCGGGCAGTTTGCGTACGCCGCACAAGCGTTGGGAGGCACGTGCACGGGGGAACACGGGATTGGTAGAGGCAAGCGAGATCTGCTCGAGCGCGAGCTTGGCAAAGGCACCGTGGACCTCTTGCGTACGCTAAAGCGCACGTTGGACCCTCTCAACATCATGAACCCAGGAGCATTGTATCCAGACGATTGATCTTGGAATGCCTTTGACAGATCTTTCATCATCCGCGCTGTACCGCTCTTTCACCTCTTTTTTGGGCCCCCACCCCTCCCTCTCGTCGCTTGCGAGTTGCGATCACTCGCCGCTCGCTTCGGCTTTCTTGGCATGCTCTGGCCACCAATACGGTATCCAAGGTCTCACGCCCAGCGTCTTTCCATCTTGCGTCTGTACGCTCATCTCGAGCGCATTTTCCGCACCTGGCGCCAAGAGCGTCCTGTGCACTTGTTCCAGACGAAGCAAGGCCAGTCCCACGTTGTGAATGCTACCCAGCAGACGTCCTGCTGATCGACCCCTTGCCGCGCTGCTGCTGCTGCTGCTGCTGCTGCTCGCGCCCGTAGACCGCACATCTGCCCCCGAAGTTGTCGTGGCATCGAATGAAGGGTCGTAAGCGTGCTCGGAGGGAGGGCTAAAAGGGGCTCAAGGCAAGCGTGAGCATGGGAGCAGAGCGCGCGGGGGGGCGAATGAGCCGGAGCGCAAAAGCTGGCCAACTCACCCGAGCTGAGGATCGTACAGAGTGATGGGAACGACGCGCTTCCTGACTACGCCCGTGTGATGTGTGCGCGCCGTCAATTCTTGTCCGACGTAGCAGCCCTTCTTGTAGTCGACTGTGGCAAGCGATTGCTGCACCGTGAGCAAGAGCGCGTGATGGAAAGGGGGGGGGGGGGGGGCGAAAACGTCGCATGGCCCTCTCTCTCTGCCAACTCACCTCCGCCCATCCAGTCCACATTGACTTCCAATGGCAGACTTGCACCGGGCACGAATTCGATGGGACCCTCGCCCACTCCTTGAAGATAGCGATGAACGGTGTGCGCATCTCCTGTATCGTCTTGATGAGGGACATGGCGGCAGGTACGAGGGGGATGAGCTGGAATGCGCTCGCTGTGCTTTGCGCTCGAGCGCTCATCGCTCACTGCTCATTGCTCACCATTGCCACGCTCAGCCTGCACCAGCAAGCGATGACCCATCTGCGGTGTTCGGGCATCCCTGGCTGCTGCTGCTCCTGCTGCTCGCAGACTCGACGCTTGACTTTGATCGAGTGCCAAATGCGCATGGACGCGCCACTGCTTGTTGAAATGTTGCGCATCCAGCTTGACCTTGCTACGAAGTTTGAAGCGTCGAATGTGATGCATGACCTCTTCCAAATTTCGCTCGTCCAGATCCAACACCACAGCTTCGCCATCCGTCTCTTGCGATAATCGAGAGCGTTGCGGATGAGGATGCAAGAATACGGGGGCGAGCATGCGACCCGAAGGTTGCAGGAACGCTCCGTACAGGAGAGGTGGTGGCGCTGCTTGCTCAGGGGCCAAAGGAGGAGGAGGTGCGTCGATGGTGAATGCGGCGGGTGCGACGTTGCACGTGAGCAGACCTTGAAGCAGCTTGACCGTCTGCGGACCGTGCACGCTGACTAGCGCCCTATGAGGTACGGTCATCTGAGCGTCATTGTCGTGTGCGTGTGCGTGTGCGTGTGCGTGTGCGTGTGCGTGACTGGTGTGCAAGCAGCGTTTGAGCTTGGAAGGAGCGGGCTGCTGCTGAGAGTGCGGAGCAAGGGCGGGAAGGCGGGCGGCGGGAGAACATGAACAAGAGCTCAGCAGACGGGTCAGATGACCTCGCTGTGGCAATGCATGCCATGCGCTACTCGACATTCTTCTGGTGCAGGATTTTCAGTGTGCGCTGTGGTGCGGAGAAAGCAATGATGGCGGTAGCGATGGTGATGGCCCAGACCGGAAGATGAGGTGGAAGCTGCGAAGGTGGAGGGCAGGCATGTGTGCAGTCAAGAGTCACGAGTGCAGTGCAGTGCAGTGCAGCAAGACCACGCGCCATGCAGCAATTACAACGCCTTGTGTGCATCGCCGCTTTCACGTGACGGGCGTCTTTGGCACCGCTGCAATCTTGGATCAAGAATCGTGAATCGTGATTCAGAATCAAGAATCAAGCTGCAGCTGCAGCTGCAGCTGCAACATATCATGCACCGGGCGTGCGCCGCCGCCGCCCCCTGACGATGATGATGATGTCGCTCGAGCAGCACAGAGCTGCACGGCACGGAGCAATAAGAAGCGCAAGAGCAACACAGAAGGCCGCTCGCTCGCTGCGTCGCGCTATCTCGGCGTACTCGTGGCTCGTGACACGACTCGCACTCACGACTCAAACGCACTCTGACTGATTCGCGATTGATGTTCATTCGCACTCGTGACTTGTGATTCACGATTGAGACTTGGTCATGGCGCTGTGATCTGCACACCCACACCCACACCCACACCCACACCCACCCACACGCACACCCCTACATACACACATCTCATCATCCACCATCATCCCTCCTTCAACTACACGTAGACCCTTGCGCGCACACCTCCCATCGAGATGGCTACATTCACCCCGATGTCTAGCGGGTCAGACCGTTGGGCAGAGGATGAGCAGCCCTCGCTGTTACCCCCTCGCAGGCATCATCGCGGTGTAGGGGCAGGGCAAGGGGCAGGTGCGGGTGCAGCAGTGACAGGCAGGAGACAAGCAGCAGCAGCAGCGGCGGCGGCGGCGGCGAAAGGTGGTGCTCCAGCAATCAGCAGCAATGTCGGCAGCGCATCTGCAAACCTCAACAGCGCCTCGTTCGCATCAGCCGCCGCTACCCATGCTGGCAACGCAGCAGCATCATCGTCATCATCATCCACAGCACCCAAGCGTGCACCTCGATCTTGGGCTTGGCTTCACGATGCTGCCAACCTGACAGGCGCGAGCAGCAGCACAAGCACAGGCGCAGGCACGGGCACGAGCACGAGCACGCAGCGTCTTCCACCATCCGCACGCTTGTCGCCCTTGCAGTCCGCTCGATCAGCATATCACCCCTACGCTCACGAGAGGACATCTCTGCTCAGCGGCAACAGGGAGCGCATGATCGGCGGCCGCACCGGCGCCGGCTTCACGCCAACATTCCCCAGCGATGCTGCTTCTGCTGCTGCTCCATCCCCCTCGCCGCACGCTCACTCTTCATCGCATCACGTTCCTACCGAATCGCTGCAGTCCGCACCTGCAGCCAGGTACAGATCGCGTCATGCTCGTTTAGGCAGCGATGATAGGCACGCCAATCAGCCACTGTGGAAGGACGCTTTCAGACCGCACATGTCAACGGTGGAGAGGTGGTTGAACAGCTGGTGGAAGAGATGGGTGGTGCTCGCAGTTGCGCCCAGCCTCGTGGTCAGTCTGATACCTGGCAAATTAGCAACAATGCCGCAGCGACGTTGTGACCTTGACGCTGCCTCTCTCTCTCTCTCCCCCTCTCTCCCCCTCTCTCCCCCTCTCTCCCCCACAGGTATGGTTCTGGTGCGCCATGCCCTTTCCAAAGACCGATCCTTACGACCCCAATCCACCTTGGTGCGATCCTGAAAGCAGCGGTCTTGAAGCTCCATGGTGCGGCGATGGCGATGGGAACGGTGACAGTCCCAACAGGGTGGATGCCAACTTTTGGTTCTTTTTGCTCTTCTACTACGGCATCTACTGCGCCGTCGGTGCGTCCATTCAGCGCCGGCACGCAATTGGTGACGCATCTGACGCATCTGACGCATCATTGCTGATCAACACGCTCTCTGCTCTTGCCCACAGCGCTGATATACATCACGCAGCTATTCTCCCTGTACCGCCTCAATTGGTGGCCGCGCGCATTGGGTGCTCGAACCAGCTACTTCACCTTCTGGCTGCTGAGTCTAGGCGCAGGCTACACTCTGCACACGTTCTCGCTCGATGCCCATGCAGGATGGTTGCCACCCTGGCTGGGCGGTGGAGCGGGCGGAGGCACGGGTCACGACAAGGCTCCAGATCGTCCCACCACCGACGACGATATCCAGTGGCAGCGCAAGACGCTCTGGGTAGGCCTCGCCTTTGCTACCATGGCCATGCCCGCGCTAGTCTGTCTGGCCGGGCTCAGGCGCAGCGGAAGGCAGACGTATCGGCACAGCCTCACGGAAGCCCAAAAGAGTGAGTGTGGCGGCATGTACAAAGCGCCTCGCCGCAGCTTTGTCTCACGTTGCGACTGCGCTGCTTCCCCCACCCCGGTCAGCGTTCTTGGAACGACAACTTGCTCGTCGTATTCCAGCTTCCTACACTCGCTTCCTCTGGTTCATGACCACCATAGGTCTTGCCCTCGTGGCGCTCTTGGCAGGTCAGGGTTATGCTAGCATCTACCTCTCCTCCTTGCCCCACACGGGCTTCGAAGGAACGGCATACGTCATGTTCTGGACTGTCAATGTCAACGTCCTCATGCTCATCAGCATCTGGATCCTCGAAGAAAAAGTGCGAAGCAGAGCGCTGCTATTTTGCTTCAAGTACTACTACTTCTTGGTGAGTTGGAGTGCAGTAACGTTTGTGCAGCGCGCACCTCTGATGCGCCTGTTGTTCGTGCCTCCCCCTTCGCTGTTGCAGGTCTACTTTATGTGAGTGGAAGGCGTGTGCCCGCAGCCTGCGACGGCCGACTCACACCCATTTCCTGCGCACACACTACAGCTTCTATCGCAATCTCTTTGCTCGATTGCGATCATTCGACCAATTCGCATTGATCCAGTTGCTCAGCTCTTTCTGGGTCTGCATCTGGTATCCCTTTAGGTGCGTTCGAGTACGGTCATGGTGCCATATTTGGCCTCTGTAGTGTCCCTCTGACGTTTTATCTCGTGCTCTCATTCAGCATGACGAGCCTGTGTCACCGCATCACACAATACTTTAACCCAAATCCTCGGTCCTGGGAAGAATACGTCGAGAGCGTCGGTCTGGGTGAGATGATGCGAGCGTGCATCACTTTTTTTTTTTTTTGCCATCTCGACGCACCGCTTACGCACGAGTTCAATGTAGCGTTCTACCTGCGCAATTTGGCGCAGAATACGACCATGCTAGCCTTTTTGGGTTGGGTATCCATCCTGCACTTTGGAAGCAATCAGCGTGAGTCGGAGGAGCCGATGTGCTCCAGCGATTCGCACCATGCCATTGCTAAAGCCGTCTTCTCTTTCCCCTCCCCCTCTCTTCTTGCGTTAGACCTGTACCCCTTTTTTGCGTTTGACGATAAGCGCGATCCCTACAACTACCAGCTGACCATGCTCGGTTCGCTGGCCATCTGGGCTAGCGAGCTGGTGAGCAGCTTCTTGGCCCGTTGGCTCTGCCTCTATTGCTTCTCCGTCGACATTACCAATCTTGGCCTGGATGAGATGAGACAGCATCCGGAACTCGTCACTAGCGTCGTTTGGTGCGTTGCTTGCGCACCGTCGAGCAGATGGAGCAGCGCTCGCCAAGAGCGCAAGCAAATGCTTTCCACTCACACGCCCCGCGTCTTGGTCCAATCCCGCAGGACATCCGTGCACGTCTTGCAAGATTGTCTGCTCTTCCTCATCAGGCTCAACTTTCGTTGATCATTCAGCGGCCCTAGCGTTCGCACAAATTTTTGAACCACATACACATCATTACATCATACCCACAGCAGGCTTTCTTCAATGTACACGCTTTTTATCTCGCTTTCCTGTGCGGGTTCTGGGGCGCGAAAAGATGAAAAAGAACACACACGAGGCAAAAAGCGCTTAGACGTCCAGATCGACCAGCGAAGCGCCTAACAGATCTTCTTGAAGACTGCGCCGTCCGCTGTTCTTGCGACCCTTGCCCAGATTGGGAAGAAAGTCGCCCTTGATCAGCTCTGGCTTGACTTGGCTCGGCTTCTTGCGGTGCTGTCTCATCAGCATGGTCGTTGCGGCTCCCGTGCTGATACCTGTAAAGTAAGGTGCCCATTTTTCGAACCAATTCGGAAAGCCGAGACGGATGGGTGTGCGTCGCTCCAGCCGAGTCTGCGCGGGGACGATCGACGGGTCAGCCAGGTGCAGTGCGCGAAGACTATCCCCTCGCGCACACTCACTTTACCGGCCACTGCTCTTTGTTGAAGCATTTCCGATTCCCTCAAATGGTGGGCGTGATGATGCTCGTCAACGACGGCCGGGTACACTAATGATCCATCAGGATTGTGAGCAGTGGATGCAGCCACAGGTGGCGCCGGTTCCTTTGCTGGAGGGGCCACTTCCTCTTTCTTCTCTGGCGAAGCGGCAGCCGGTGGCGTCGTCGTCGGAACGACGTCTTTCGCTGGATGCGATTCGTCCGTCTTCTTCTCTGGCAGCGGTGCATCTTTCGTCTTTGTCTCGGCTTGCTCCACCTTATCCGCGTGTGCTTCTTCGCTCGGCTTTGTGTTCTGAGTCGATGTGACGTCCTTCGGAGTAAGTTTGTCCGCACCGGGCAAGCTAGCAGGATCACGGTGCACTGCAAAGTCCTTGGCTTCTTTGGGATGTTTTGAAGAAAATCCACCAGTAAAGTACTTGACGCCTAACAGGCCGATCCCTAGACCCACACCAGCCGCCATGAAGTTGCCAATGCCTCGAGGCTAGATATCGACACCAAGTCACTGCGTCAAACGAAGGCGGCACGGTGAAGCTCTCGGATGAAACTGCACTCACCTCAAGATCAGTGCTGGACAGTAAAGATCGGCGCTGCACCGCTGCTGGGTCCCTATTCAGCGAAGTCGTGCCAGCATCCGTCGGCACGCTCGCGCCTCCGCCGGTTTGGGTCTGCGGTGTGGCTGGCGCGGATGCAGGAGCTGTGGGCGTTGTTGGTTGGCCTGGATCCGCTTTGGGCGGCGACTCCTTGCCATCCGTCTTCGCAGGCTGCTCTTTACCATCCGTCTTCTTGGAGTCTTCCTCCTTGCCCTTGCTACGCCAATTCTTGAACTTGTTGTGCCAATTCGTGATGAAGTGCGTTTTGCGCTGTGCATAATAGACTCCACCACCCACGCCCACGAAAGCCAGCGCGTTGCGCGCGTCTTTGAATTTCGAAGTCTGCCAGAAGGGAAGCTTGGCTTTGACCAAGCGACGCTCGAGCTGAGACTGTGAGTACAAGTGTGAGATGATGAGTCCTTGAAGAGCTATCACAGTAGACACGAACACGCACTGATCTGACGACGCTACTTCGCCGTGTGTTGCTTGATTGTGAAAGCTGCAAGGACAGCCTCGATTCGTCAGCACGGTGCACGATGTTCTGTGCGGGTCGACATCGATGACTCACGATTACCTGCCGAGTGTTTGCAGTTTGAATAACGGAGAGTGTATCATGTTCAGTGCCGGTGCCTCTTCCAAATCCCTCGTCATTCCTACTCTTGGCCTGCGCATCTTCTTTGAAACCCCGCGTCTCAGCATAGCTCCACCGTCGAAGTCCTGATGTGCCCGCATGGCTTAGCACGTGGGGCAGCGTCATCGCCCTCTCCCTCGCCTCTCTCATCCCTTTGCTTTGGATGATGACGCTGCCCGCGAATCCCTACTCGGACCTGCCGTTCAGCTTGTGTGCTGCGCCGTCAACAGGATGGTGGGGAACCTTTTCGCCCTGCGTGGCGGTGGGAACCGTGGCGGGATGACCGTGACCTGCAAGGTGGCCAAAGAGGTAGCCAACGCCCAAAGCGCTCAACGCGTAGCCCCACTGTCTGAGCGAGCCGGGAATGGGGCTGTGCCAACCTTTGCCCGCAGCCTTACCATGGCGCTTGAACAAGGCGCTAGCGTGGTCACTGGCACCACTGTGAGCCGCACTCGACCACATACTTACTTGGTCAAGCTCGCCCTGCGTTGGGATAGGAGCTGCAGAAGTGGAAGCGGCGCTGTGCAAGGAATAGTTGGGCGAGGTGAGCTTGTGCGAGAGACATAGGCGCTGTATAAAGGTGAGCGGCACGACTTACGCGACTGCCGTGTAGAGTATCAAGATGTTTGAGAATCGCATGGCGAAGCAGAGATGAGGCTGATGAATCGAAGAAGCACAAGACCAGCTTGTATGCTCGCGAGTTGTATTGTGTTCTTGAAGAACGTCTGGAACAAGAGGAGGAAGCTTGGAACAACCACCCAAGAGCCAGCTTGGGAATCGCGCTGCGATGTAGGTAGAAGAGAAGGAGGAGCTGCTTATTGAAGCTGACACCTAGCTGTAGCTCGCGCGGAGGCGAGAAGGGCGAAGGTGAGAAGGGAAGCAAACTGTTGTGACCATCGATGCGGTTTGGATTTTGCGCGCGCGCGCCCGTTGCCTTGTTGGGCACAACTATATATAGCGCTGTGGGAGGATGGCGTATTGCCACCTCCATAGACTCATGACTCGTGAAGTGTGAGAAGAAGCTATGGCTCATAGCTGATAGCGCGCAGAGAAGAGCGCTGGCACGCGGGCGTATAGCGATGACCGACCCCATCACGTATGCGCACGCGTATACTATAGCTGCTTGTATACGCAGCCACACGCAATCACGTTAATTGCTGCGCCCGCGTGTGGGCGTTTAGATGGGCGGGCGGGCGAAGACCCAAGGGGTCACCATTCGTGATTCACTGATTGCGGCCTGGCGTGGAGGTGTGGGCGAGGTGACGCATAGCATGTCAGCGCCTACCCGTCGCTATACGGACTCGTGACTCATACTCACAGCGACTCGTGACTACAACTCACACTTACTGCTGCTGTATGCCATCATTGATGACATACTTGCATGCTGCACGTTTCCATCGTCGTGCCGCAAGTGTCCCGGTGCACTGAACGCAGTCAAGCTCGCTCGCAAAGCGATTCTATGCTGCCGCCTTATCGCTTATGGCGACCCTATTGGGAGCGGCAGTCGTGAGCGCGGGGGATGAGTGGCAAAGGGCGTACAAGGCGGCAATTGAAGTGAGAAGCGGTGGCGAGGTCCATGCATAACGTTCAGATTATCGAATATCGTCACAGCACATTCGTGATTCGTGATGGCCAATCGATTCGCGAACGAATCTGAATCGAGGCTGAGTGCAAGATGGGGCGCATGGATCGGCTAGCTGCGCTGTACCGCACCAGTTGAGTAGTAGTTCGAGTCACAGTCGTGAGTGCACTCGTGACTGCCCTCAGAGTTGACAACCTGTCGCCACACCTCCCTCCGAAGATGTCCCGTGATCCACGCCACTTGAGGTCTAGTGACCAGACAAGGAAATCCTTGCTCGATATTTGCATTCAATTGAAAATCTAGAATTTGAATGCTTCTTGTCATCGTGGCCCTTTGACTATCTGGAATCCTCATTCGTGCCTCCGAACCTGTTTGTATCCACTCCCGCATATCGATTCAGATTGTGGAACAGCAGGGCCACCCTTCCGAATCTCGAAGAGAAGCGCTGGATATCGCAACGTGTGCGTGGCCACTCCGTTCGCGGACAAGCAGTACCGATAGGAAGCTCAGAGTCCAGATCGACATCCACAACAATCACAATCACAACTCTCGATTCACAATTCAGAATTCAACGATCATGCACACTTCCAGAGCTCTCAACTCACGACTCATTCACTATTTTGTGTATATAGTCAAAGTTTGAGTAGCGCGCATCCCCTACACGAGTCACGTGACTCATTAGAGCCATGCGCGTGGACCTGACCTCTCACACGCTCCTTCTCGACTTGTGACGTGACGTTTGAGTAATCACACTCACCTCATGACCCAAGACTCTTGACTCGCCTTCCTTTCATCCACGATTGATGCTTGTGCTTGTGACATCGTCATCATGCGAGTCGCATCATGATCGCATAGCTCACATGTACGCATTCTGCTCGTCCTCAACACTTGCCCTCCCTCAATCCTTGCACACTTCGTCATGTCCGTCTCTGCACGGAGCAGCGCCGTGCCCCGCTCCATCCTCTCAGCATGCCACGCTCGCCTGCTGCCATCATCTCCGCCACGCCGTCGCGAGCTTGAACAGCGCTGCGCTTGTCTCGCTATCAGGACCGCTGCGACGACGGCACGGCAGCATGCCCAAGCAGCTCCACAAATCAAGTACAAGCAGCTACCACCAGCCCAACCCGCGTGGTCATGGAATGATGACGACTTGCGAGATGGTATTCGCAATGCTCGGCAGAGGAGAGCAGCATTGAACACAGAGGATCAAGATCGCCTGGTGGAGCTCAAACAGCGACTTGTAGATGTCAACCAGCGTCTGGCTGCTGCGAGGGATGCGCAAAAGTCGTCGAGCCAGCGCACAAAAGCAGATCAGGTGGACGGTCTGTCTGATCAGAGCAGCACAGCGACGGCCACTCAGAAGGAAGCAAAGGCAGACTACCAGAGGCTGTTGAAAGAGCAAGAAGCTGTGACGGCAGAGGCGCGGATGCTTCGGCTCAAGCTGCCCAATCGGACCGCTGCTCACGTGCTGGAACAGTTGGGCGTTGCTGGAGATGGAGATCTGGACGTGGAGGTGTCACCAAAAGCATTCAGATATGGCGGCGACATTGCAAGCGTTCCCGGGCCGGACTTGCATGGCGCAGGCAAAGCCATGCCTGAATACGATCACGTCAACCTTTTGCACCAGCATTCTCCTGGCTCTCTGCTGCACCCGTCCGCCTTGCCCCAGCAGGTCGCTGCTTCGGGCTTCCCGCATCTCGGCTCTCATCTCGCCATCCTCTCTCACGCCATCGAACGCCTCTCTCTCAGCATTGCCATTGCAGAAGGTGCCCGGCTGCGCGTCGTCCCAGACGTGATCCCAACAGAGTTGCTAGAGCGCAGCGGCTTTGCGCCTCGGCAAGCCGATGCCGCGCAGATATACACCCTAGCGGCCGCTGGCGAGGCGTTGCCGTTGGCCTTGGCTGCCACAGCGGAGCTGCCTTTGCTTGGTCTCCATGCGGCCAGGCAGTACTCCACCAAGCAGCTGCCAATCTTCGAAGTGGCTTCTGGACACGCTTTCCGAGCCGAAGCTGGCTCTCGAGGCAAAGCGACGAGGGGACTTTTTCGAGTGCATCAGTTCTCAAAAGCCGAGCTGTTTGTCGTGTGCACGCCGGATCACAGCGAAGCTTGGTTGGACAGGCTGCTAGCTGTTCAGCTACGCGTCCTAGATGCACTACAATTGACGTGGAGGTGAGTCGAGGGGAGGGACAGAGGTGCCGCACGGATTTTGACCGCCTTTTTCTCGCCAACAGGGCGCTTCACATGCCGCCACACGAGCTGGGTGCGAGCGCATATCAGAAGATCGACGTCGAAGTATACATGCGAGGCAGAGGAGATTGGGGCGAGGTTTGCTCCGCATCCAATTGCACCGACTATCAGGCTCGCCGTCTGTCCATCAAATACAAATCAGCTGCAGCCGATGCTAGCTCTCCGGAGTATGCTCATACGCTCAACGCTACTGCAGCTGCCATACCACGTCTACTCGTGGCCCTCGTCGAGCAGCATGGCTTCCGAGATGGCAAGATGCTGCTTCCAAGCGCATTGAAGGAGCATTGGCTTGGCGACCAGGATGAGGTGCACTGGCTTGCGGATGCGGAGACGACAAGTGCCTCCGGAGTCGCCAATCGCTCTGTGGACGCACCCCAGAGTGTCCCAGGATCTGTTCGTACATTCTCCACGAAGGTGCCCCAGAAAGGCACGGCTTCTCCGCCTCCCCCACCGCCATCCTCGTCCTCGCCTTCGTCCCCTTCTTCGCCTTCGCAGCCGGCCAGCTCGATCCTTGCTCGAAGCATAGCTCGCGTCCGCGAGGCTGCAGCAAGAAGCGGGACAGACCCAGGCAGCATGGTCATCAGCTTTTTGATCCTACACGAGCTTAGCGCAATCATACCTCTGTTGATCATCTTTTGGATCCTCGCCTTCTTTGGGGCAGGAAAGACGGTCCTTGATTGGCTCTTACCAGCCAACGCAGTGGAGGCGAGCGTTGTAGAAGACGCCGGCCCCGCTTCAAATGGAATACGAGACCGTCTTCGCGCTTGGGTCGATGACGGGACACGCTGGGCAGAAAAAATTGGGCGCAAGAAAGGCTGGTTCGGCTTTGAAAAGGGCAGCGAGGCAACAGGGGAAGGTGTGGATGGTGCAATCCTCGTTGGAGGATTCGCAAATGCCGTGGCAGCCTACGCGGTCGTCAAGGTGCGTTTGCTATCAGAGATGAGTCGATGCTGAAAGTTTGCGAGGCCATCTTCGGTGCTTAGACAACTTTTGGCCATGTTTGCAGGCGATCGTCCCTCTACGTATTGCGGCGTGTATATGGCTTGCCGGTCCCTTTGCAAGGCTGACCATAGAGCCGCTCAAGCGACTTGGTAGGCAGTTGGGAACCAAAGCTGGCTCACGCAGATGAAACGATATGCTTGAGCTGACGAGTCAAGATTGTTGGTAAGAGGGACAATGTTGGTCTTCCCACAAGCGGTTTGAGAGACGCGCAGTGATGCATTTGTAATCCTTTGCCACTGGTCCGGCGAGCACTTCCTACCAATTCATACCTCCGTCAAGTGCCACCAAAAGTGTGCTCAAGCTGAGCGTATGTGAATCGATCTCAAGATTGAATACGCCTTGAGTCTAGCACAAGTGTCCGTTTCTCCCTGACGAGTCCTATCGCTCGTCAAGTCCTCTCAGCATGGACAACACCTCTGCAGAGACTGTCTTGCGAGTCACGGGCTTCGCCACGAGTCATTTGCATGTCAGCATACAATACTCGAAGATCAGATAAAGCGATGCTGCAACAAATTGGTATCCCCGGCAATGCGCGACCTACTTGTCCGTCACCCCGTCGCACGAACCTGTGAATAGGCGACATAAAGAATGTCCTTTAAAAGCCTAAGCGTGCAGCTCATGCCTAGCTGAGCTACGGCGCTTCGATTCTGACAGAAGCCTATGCGCGCTTGGAGAGCTTGTCGATCCGTGAGCAGGGCATTGGCTGCAGGCACAGAACAAGGAGAAGTGAGTGAGCTGTCGGCTTCCGCGTCACCATCGATCACACTTCCCGGCATTGAGTATGCGTCCGCAACGCGACAGCTTCTTCTGGGATGGTATGCAGCACAAACGAGATGGCTCTCATAAATTTATGGTTATAGAAGGCGAACGGGGCCTATTCGGGCGCGAGGCAGCTGGCGTAAGGCAAAATTGAAATGAACGACCTAGAGATTCCTGAGGATCGATGGCTTATTCTTGGTATTAACCGAAAAGAGAGCGTCTATCTGCATTGTGACTCAGACTAAGTAGATTCGTGTGTTAATCTGATCGCTTCCCTCGGTTGGGATTGTGCAAGATATTGAGGTCAGTGTATGTACATTATTTTCTATACCTTGTACTTCCATCTATCTGCCTCTTCGCCATCAATTCTTGTGGCACCAGCGGGCACTTCACTGCCCATCACGGCAAATCTATCAGTCTCCGCGAGATCCGTCGGCCTCATGTGGAGAAAAGGGATTCCGCCAGATAAGTTGCTTTGCAGTGCCTTTTCGACTGCAGATCAATGATCGCCCCTATGCTATTAGCCTTTGACTCTGGTAAATTGCCTAGGAAGATAGCATTCCCGTCGTATTGTTGTCAATGCATCTTCGCTGACCGATGCCCACCAACGCTTCCTGATTTGCGCTATTGTATGCTTCTTGCAAAAGCAGCAGCCGCATTCAAACAGGAAGAGAACAAAACAAGAGCAAAAAAGGTGAAAACGGGAAGCCGTCAAGTCTCACGCGTAAACATTGCGCCTCATCATTCCGTTGGTCACCCCAACATCACGCGTCCTTGCAGGAGCCGGCGGTGTCTGCTGCTGCGTGAGCCTGCCTCAAATTCTTTTTTTGTCTGACCAAAGGTCGATCGCTGCACGCTAGGTCTGAGAGGGGCCAATGACTTGCCCATACCATCATCCCTCAGGTCAGACTTTTTTTTTCTGCTCCATTCTATGACATTTACTTGTCCAGCACCATAGGGTCTGCACAAGCCATGTTGTCCTACAGCAACGCTTTGACAAATTTAGTATGTTGCTTGTAAACGTCTCCGTGCGCTGAGCGCGAATGTCTGGCATAGTTATCAGAAAGGTCAAGATGATGCGTACACAGAGCGCGATTGCAAGAGTGCAAGGCGCAGGCGCGCGCTGCAACAGCGACACGATCAGTCAGCTCAAACAGACACACGCTCTATTCGTGAAAGGGCAGGATACCGCGCTTGACTGTGGTATTCGGGCTAAGGCAGGCAGCGCACCTTGTCCAATATGAACACAAAAAGCGGTAGCGTTTCCAGTAATGCAAGAGCGATCAGCGCAGGGAGCGGCGGTGCGCCATTGACATCCGCTTGCAGTCTTAGAATAGCATGTAGCGCCCTAAAGAACACAGGGACGCCCTGGCGAGACTTGTCGCCATCGCCACAGTCTTGCCGCAATCGCCAGCAGGTGATTCGCTGACAAGCTGGTGACTTCCTCGATGTGCGCATGTCAATCAGGCTGCCCTCGACTGAGCACAGAAAGCTGCTTCATCAAGCGCATGTCAATCAAGCGGGCCAAGCTCATCTCAGTCATGCTTGCGCGCATCAGGTAATGGCAATAAGAGAATCCTGCTTCATCGAGCTCATCTCGTGATTTTCACCAAGCTCATCTCAATCACCAATGCATCTCCCGTGCGTGCAAGTGAAGAGCATGCCAACATACAAAGACGCCCTTCTGTGCGCAATATACAAAGACACTCTTCTGTGCGCATGCATCCATGCACCTCCTCTTCACACCATCTTTCCAAAATGACCAACCAAGAGTGAGTTTGCAAGAGATGCATTGCATACTAGCACCTGCTTATCCTCCTTCCTGCAGAGAAATCCAACGCCTTTGCGGCATTCTCATTCAGCGTCGAGCACAGTACGCGATCCTTGAAGAGAGGATGCGGTGCTTGCGGGAGACCCTGGAGGAATTGGAGGGGGAATTGGCGGAGCTGGAGGCCAGGGCTGGCCGTGTGAGTAACTTTGTCACGCATCTTTTTTGCAGGCTGCTGCATGCTCACCCGAGGACACTGCAACAGCCACGGTTGCCTCACCCAGTGCGTGAATTCTATGAAGGGCTCTTGAGGAGGCAGGGAGAGGCGCTTTAAAGTGAGCAAGATGAGTGGTGCGCTCAAGTTGGCACCGTCTGATCAAACTTGCAATCCTCGGAACACAGGATTCACACATTCTCTTTCTTGTTTCTGGCTGCGTGCACTTCACCAATGACATGGTTTCAAGGATCAGAGGTACATGGCAAGGCTTGCAAGGCGAGGCTTGCAAGGTGACGCTCAGGGAACTGTATAGGTACGTGCGGTGCGATGCAATGCGATGCGGTCGATGCGATGAGTGCAAGTGCAAATATCTTGTTATCACAAATGCTGCAAGGGCTAGTCGAGAGCGGTGGTGAGGGAGGGTGCACTGGTTGGGAGCGTCGCGCGTTTGCGCTGCCGTATTTCGTGCGCTGGCTCTCCGGGCCTCAGCGGACGGCATCGACTTGCTGCCTCAGACCCCTTGGCGGGATGCGCGCAACTCATTGGAAAGGAGATCTGCGCGCATCTTGTTGGAAAGCATATCTGCGCGCAACTCATTGGAAAGCAGATCTTCTACCGCGCACGCGCCGCTCAGCGCACCAAAGATTGGGGGGGTTTAAAGCGCATGCAGGTCCGCGCGCCTCGGCATCGCGTCCATCATGAGATCCAAAGCGTTGATCACAAATCGCACTCACCGATGTGGCCGCGCATCTGCAAGCGTCCACGCAGCAAGCATCATGGATCTCACAAGCATCATCAACGCGCGCCTTGCGAGTAGCTCTTGCGTTGACCGCTGCGCAGACGTCAACGCAGCGGGTAACTCTGAGCTACAGCTAATCTTACCAAGTTGCAAATCTCACCGCCTCTTGATGGCTGCCATGCACGCTGCCACTTTACTGCATGTGTCTCACCTTGCTGCACATGTTTCACTTTGGGCAACAAATGAATCACGCGGCGTGGCTCTCACTCGTGACTCTCACTCGTGACTGTGATTTCGATTGGTGAGTAGTCACGATCGAGTCACAATTCAGCAGATTGCTGCTCAATCACGCGCGCGCGCGAGGAAGAGGAGATGGCCGAGTGCGCTTGGACAAGGGGTTGATTCGCATTTCCAGATTAATTGTCCATCGTCTGGTCAGTGACGCGTGCGCCGCGTGTGTATCGGTCTCATTGATGCTTACGCGCATGCTCGCAACTATACTTTGTGTGTTTTGCAGGATCCACGCATGATAGACTGTGTCACTCATCAAACAACAGCAACCCAGATGAGATGCCGCCACGGTGGACTCGTACGCAACTCCAGTGTCATGTTGATGCACGCACAGCAGAGGCTTCCTCCTTTTTTGACTTTCACCATCCCCCCCGCCGCCCCCGCCTCTGCCAACATGAGCTCAAATCTCGTCCTAGCCATGTCTTCTCTCATCGCCAGTCATATCATCCTCACCTTGGTGCTGGCTACCCCAGAGCCGTGAATTGTGCATAGCGTGCCAGAAAACTCAGCTCTGATAATCCATTTTGACTTTCTCCTGCAGACCACCAGCAGAGCCTGCACCGCAAGCACCGACAGCACCAACAGCTGTGGCCAGAGAGACGACCTTGTGAGTTGTACCCAGCTTGCCATCCTGAGCACATCTAATCGCACATGTGCTTCTCCCTGCAGATCATCCACCCAGCCCTCAGCCGCAGAACCATCGTGAGTTGTGCCCAGCTTGCCGTCACGAGCACGTCTAGACAAGCAGATCTGATCAGACATTGTTATGTTCCTTGTACAATGCAGCAGCAAGACCAAAAAAGTCTCTGAAGCCTAGAGCAAGCGTGAGTGATCACGCAACAGGATTTGTGACGCTAGTGCTGAATGTCATGCACATCCATCAGAAGAAGAAAAAGAATCCTGCAGCCCCTGACTCAAGTCAGATGCCGAACAAGGATGGGTGGTTTGACAGGCTTGTAACATGAGTGTTGTGCTTTGCATGCCTGCAAACATCCTGCTGAATGAGGTTGTACGTGCCTACAGTCCCCCTTCCGAAGAGAAGGATGGCCCCGCCGACCTTGAAAACGCGTTGAAAAAACCAAAAAGAAAAAATATACCAAAAAACCAGCGAAGCCCAACTCCGGTGCGTCTTTTGTTGTTGCTAGTTCGTCTCCATCAAGTCTACCTACTGCCTTGCTGTACTCATGATTTCAGGCACGCAAAATTAGACCGCAAGAAATCATGCCTGTCTCTTTCTTCCTCATCGGCCGGGCCTCAATCTTGAATGTCATGCTTGGACCAGACAATCTGCTGACAATTGCGTGCTTCTGAGAGTGTGAAAGCAGGATCTCACGCGGGCGCTTCGTTTGAGCTGCCGATGGAGGACCAGATGGGCCATTTTGAGGTTAGAAATCGCCATTGCAGCGCGCTTTGCTGCTTTGCAAAGTTGCAAAGACTCCTTTCTCACCAGCTGTTTTCCAAGTCTGGCAAGCTTTGTGTTGCTCAACCCCTTGGCTTGCAACTCTTGTCTTTCTTCTTTCACCTTCTTGTTTGTGCGCCTCTTGCGCTTGTATTCAGAGTTCACCTCCTTCGCGGCTGCCTGCGGTGCTCCAAAGCATCAGAATGACATGATCTCTGCTCCTTGCACTCATTGCTTCTATTGCAATCGATGTCCTGACCATGGCGTGATTGTGATGCTCTGCTCCCAACAGCAGCGCACCGTCTCAGGCTTTCGCCTGAACTTGCTCTTGCGTTGCGTCCTCAAACTATCATAAGCGAAGAAACGTAATAACCGGTAATTGTGTTGATTGATCTAGCGGGGGTCGTGTCTAGCGAAGCTGTGGGGAAGTATAGAATCTGGTCTGTCCCTTACTGCTGAAATTCTGATCTGTCCCTGCGGGGAGGAACGCTCTTCAAAAAGAGAGACTAAAATGACAGAGACTGCGTATCATCATCACGTAGATGGACAGATGCGAGAACTATCTGGGGCCGCAGGACTGAAAACATGAATATATTTGGCCCTGGACGCGTACACACAAAGTCAGATTAGATGGAAAACGATCAAATCCCTCTGTGCACCACAATGTGGCGCCCAAGTTGTCGGATTGAAAGAATGCAAGAGCAAAAAATGTCCTCATCAATTGAGCTTGGCGAGTATACGGTCTGAAGGAAGGTGACGGATGACGTTCGTCGGCAGCAGTGCGTCTCTCGCGCGGAAAAGTATCCACAGTGCTGAGGTCGGGCAGAGTCTCGAAAATGTCAATGGAGATGTCTTGGGGTTAGGGATATTCGCGAAACGTCGACAAAGTCTGCTGCCACGCCACCACTTATCCGTGGCAAGTGCAAAACGCGCCTTGTGTAGAATTTGGGTGACTTGCGCGGGCAAGGAAAAGAAAGGTATGGGCGACAAGAAGTCGCAAGGGTAGAAGTAATGCTTGGGACTACTTTTACCTAATGTCGCCCTTCCGCGATCGACGCATTGCCAATCCTGGTCCTGACGAGTGTCAGCTTGGCTTCTAGGCATCTGAAAGCCTACATCTGGGCTGCTCGCTGTTGGTGGTGCATAGATGTCGCCTGTAATTGAGAGAGGGCTCAAAGAGGCCAATGTGAAGTTGTGAAGCAACGGCGCTGAATATTTCAGCACGTACAAATACGTCAGACGTCATATCATATCATAATATGCACTAGCTCTCTTTCGCTCAGCAAGAAAACGTCATTACACAATCATAGATGTGAAAGCGTGGCTACGCAGCCTCGATACCGCTGTTCAAATTGCGTTCTGAGCATGGTTGCTCAAGTACCAGAGTTCATCCCAAGGTAGTATGCCAAAACTCTTTCGGTCCGCTGAAAAGCCGGATATCTGAAATTGCTTCCCGGGCAGCTATCGGAGCTACAGGTTACTGGCTCAACAACACACAAACAGGTCGGGATCAAAATGACGCCCGCGTTCTGGAGGTCGAAAGAAACTTGGCCGCGAGCACAGACGCGCCGATGCAGTACCAGCCAACACGCCAATTTGCACCACGGGCGAGTACAGGCTGCTCAAAAGCGCAAAATACTGAATTTCGGGGTTCTCATTGCAGCTCAGACGAAAATCGGAGCTTTGCAGCGTCATAATTGCCTGAGACACGCTACAACAGACACGAGCATTTTTCAGATTACTGTACTGCTTGGAAGTTGTGTTTCAATCTCATTACTTATCGTCCAGAAGCATGAAGTCGTGAAATCTAAATCGTGAAGACAACGACTCTCCGAACAAAAGGCTGCATCAGTCATCTTCAAGCCGGTTTTCAGTTCGCAATCGGGTTGAGCATCGGAGGGGCCAAATTGGGTATTTGTGAGACACGCCAGCACATCGCCTATTGTGCGTCGATGGCGCTGCTCATCCCACTAGCTTCCAGGGGAGGCAGAAGTGATAGACAGTCGCCTCACATCTCAAGATCATGACGTGTGAACGACAACTATTTCAGGCAAGTCGGCACCTGGTGTTAATTGGAGAGTAGTACAGTCCACCTAGTCTTGTAGCGCGACGGTTTTTATCCGGCCCAAGAATTGGCAACAATCCACCTGAGTCATGAACTTCAGAGCTATACACCTATCTGATGGTATTAGATTCTTGGCCGCTGGTCGGGCGCGCCGTATCTTGCTTCACGCGGGCCAGAAAACTGGCATGTCAAACAAGTCTACTGAGGTGACAAGCTGCAATACGCGTTGTCTTACAGGTCAGGTCTCAGACACGGTGGAAATGGTGTGCATTCGCTGCAGACCCTTGGGCGATGAGGCTGCAAGAAACTTGAAACCAGCGCGATCATCGTCACACGGCTTCCGCCTTCGCCCGCAGGCGCACGTAACGAATTCAGTTGTGACCTCTCAACAAGTCTTCAAGACTCATAAACACAGCACCATGTCTCAAACAATTGACTTTTGCAGCTGGGACACATGAAGACAGACGAAGCAAACATGACACCGATGGCAGTCTGTTAAGATGTATGTTCATTTACTGCTATCCAACTTGTAGGATGACGTCAATTGGCATGCCTTATTCGCGCCTTACTGGCAACGTTGTTCTGTGGTTTCGAGCTGGCAGTATGAGCCCCTACTACTGATATCATTCAGCTGACATACGCAGTGCTGAACGCGCCCAGTATGCCACTGTCTCGAATTTGCTGATTGAGACCTTTGGCTGCTTCCGTGACTTTGCTGACAGCAGCTCTGGACAGAATGGTGCCGCGTGACCAAGTCAGCGCGCATCTAGCTCACTGACTTACCACAGCTGGTCTTCACATCCACTCACCGGTCATAACAGTAAATGTAGAGGGTGGGGTCGCCGGGGAAACGGCCAATGTCTGAAGTGTATTCGTCGGACTTAGCTTTCTTACACGTGTCCTCGCATTGCTTCGCCCATCGGCTTGCCAATTCGTTGAACGACCATTGGACGGGACGATCGATGACTCCTACATGGAACAAAGACTGCCAGTTGATTATACCATCATCGAGGCAATATTCGCGACCTAGAGCAAGGTGTTTTGACTTACGGTAAAGCAGATGATACCCGGGATCGATGAATGCTTGCACACCAACGAGACTGGTGGCGAGTAAGGCCACGCCGAGGCGAAAGATCGGAAGAGCAAAGGACTTCATGTTGAGTTGGTGCTCTTTTCGCTCTTGATTGTCTCGTGGGTCGCAACGCTCGACAAGTACTCAGACTGTTTTGATGACTTGAATTGACTTGAATGGGGATGCGCGTGAAGGCTGAAGAATCCTTGCCCAGGGCGCCGTTTTATACACGACGCAAGGGGAATGTCGATGATTGGACTAGGCGCTGACGCACATAGCAGCGGACGAGCAGCAACACCACTTGCTTGTCTGCCCCAAATTCTCTTCTGATTGATTCCGAGCTCGTTGGACTAATTAGAATCCGCCTTCATCTATTGTGCCGGGCGGGCGTAACTACGCGGGACGGGCCGAGGGCTTGCGATTTGCGTCCCACGGACAGCCATTGGAGCCACTCTGGAAAAAATTTGATCCATTCTTGACAGTTCTCGATGCCAGTGAGCTCCATGTGGGCCGGCACTCGATAAGTCTTATCTGTGAGATCTTGTGGGAACCAATGTGCAAGGAGCAGCTTGTCCGAACAAACGTTCCAAACAGGCAGGCCAGTGATGGGTTCCATTCTGCTCAGGCCGCGAGTAGGATCTTGAATAGAAGTCTTGTAAGTGGCATGCGGATGGCGTCGAAGATGTAATCGCCATTGGAGCGCGACTCGCGTGGCAAGCTGCCCGTCACGTGACTACGGTAAATCCTGAGTCGTCATTGAAGATGGGTCGCTGAGATCACCAGAAGGTCACAATCTTGTGAACTGCTCGCCGCTTTCCCGAATTTTGGATGCGGCTCGTGCATTGAATATCTGCGGGTACGTCCGTCATCATTGACACCAAGAGTTTGGATCAAGTGAACGCCCAAGTTACCAGTACATGAAGATTGTGGATGCTAGGCCTGATCAGATGTCATCGGATATGGCTTTTGCGAGCGCTTAGCGGACATATGCTACTCGGAAAGGGACCATCGGCGTGTCCTTGGGCGCACTGGCCATGGTGTCCGTAGTGATGGCGTCTGCAGCCTCAACAGCCCAACTATGATCCTCTCTGTTCTCAGAAGTGGGAATGGGAGTAGTGTGAGTATACAATTGCGTTGAGCGCCAAGTACAGGGCCTACAGGTCGGTGCGGCTTTTACGACTCACTCGTCATAACAGTAGAGGTAGATGGTAGGATCTTTTGGAAAGTAGCCCACATCCTCCGTTGCAAGTTGCATTTGATTGTCATTCAAGGTTTGCACGCAGTACTGCGCCCAAGTGTGCCGGACAGTCCCAATGCCCCACTGAGGGGGATAGCTCACAAGACCTTTCGGAGCAGGTCGCGTAGCTCCTTTGTATTTCTCGACATTGCATCAGTCTCACAAGTGCCATGGACAGCACTCACGGTAGAGAACACCACGCTTTGGGTCCTCGAAGGCCTTGGCTGTCATAGCTCCTAGCATGACGATGCAAATGAGGCGAAGAAGTTGAAGAGATACCATCTCGGGGCTGCTGCCGAAGTAGCGTCGATGGTTGACCAAACAGAGCGCAGGGAGCGTCTGTCGCTGAATTTTAGCCGCTGATAATAGACAGCTTGCGGTAGCCAATTTGTTGGAAATATGACGAATCGACGCGCAGACCATCCCCTTTTATAGGCGCATCTACACATGCCGCCGCATTCGCAGATTTCTTACAAATGAATGCGAGGGACAGCTTGCATGTCTGGGCAGAAGCCCAGGGCAGTAGGTATCCATCAAACAGCGGGGGTCCATCGGTCGGATGTGGCCCCCACAACAAAACCTCGGACCCACCAGGCCGAAATGTGATGAGGTCATGAGACCTAGGTAGAGCCGTTAGGGGGGATGCAGCGGCTCTTTCGTTCCGCCACTTGTAAGACAGGACAGGTTCTCTTTCTACGCTTCATCAAAATTCGCCGTTGGAGACGCGCGAGCAACAGCTCGCGGGGTGCGGCATCGTCAGCCAACCATCCGTGCGTCCATTCAGCAATGAACCCATCACACAAGCTATGCGGCCTGCTCATGCCCAATCATAGATGAGCATCAAGAGTGTCAGCATCTTTCAAAAGATAGGGCGCATATGCGCGTTCCTCCTTCTCGACAGGCTTCGGTGGGAGTCCCAAGAAGCATTCCTGATTGAAGTCCTACTTCAGCTCGCAGGCAATCTGAGCTCGCCTACGATTTCGAGACCTCTGCGCAAGGCTCAGCCCAGTGCATTTACGGTAGGATTGGAATCTGTACTTCAAAGAGTCACGAAGGCGAGAGCGTGCAGTCAAGAGCCACGAATGCTGGCGGGGTTTTGTAAGAAGGGGTGAGGCAAATAGCAGACGGCCTCTAAGCGCGATCGGGTGGACGTCTGCCTGTACACAGGCACTCCATTCACAGCCGTTGTGCCAAGATCGGATTCGGTACTAAGACCCGCCTAAGGAAATATGGTGGATGGCGAGGGATAGGCTGTCTGCGGCGTACTATTGTGCATTCAGCACACATTTATGCAGCAGACATGCAGCTGTTTGTGCGAGCGTACGATGTGCAGTCAGAGTGTGAGCAGACCATCGCAATCGATCTCGGGCGCATAGTCTCTGAACGCTCGCTTTGCTCCAGAGACTCGGCGTCGATGACGATCTAGCTGACACGCTCGACTGAGAACAAGCCTATCACCTGACCCCACTGCCTGTTTGCAATGTTCTCCTGGTTGAGTGAGTCTGCCGCTTCAGTGGCCCAGCTGTGCTCGTGCCTGCGATCATCAACGGAGCGCGAAGATGCAAGACGAGCAGCCTCACGTAAGATGTCTGTTGTGAAGCCACGTCGTGCGACCATAGCAATGTTGACTCACTCATCGTAGCAGTACAAGTAGGTCGTTGGGTCATAGGAAAAATAACCAACATCCTCAGTCGCGATGAACGATCCTTGATCCTTACAGGCTTTCACACAATGTGTTGCCCAGTGTTTCTTGATGTCATTGATTCCCCATTCCTGAGGGGCGTTGACGACACCTTTTGTACCAATTTTAGATGCGTCAGCTTGTGGGCCAGATGTCCGCTCCGAACTCGAGACGCGAGTCAGACTGACGTCACTCACGGTAGAGGAGGTGACGTTTGGGATTCTCAAAGGCCTTGACTCCAAGGATACCAAGCAAAGCTACCGAAATGTTGCGGAAGAGGCGAACAGAGAGCATGTCGGTCGTGAAAGCAAGCAGGCCCAGTAAAGAAGGATGAGGTTTTTGAGATGTGTATTGGTTGCTGGTACGTATTGCCGCTCGTAGTGATTGAATTGATTGAAGGAGGAAGTGATGGAGAAGCACAAGGAAATGAAGCCTTTTAAGAAGTCAGTCCACGTTCCCTTTACGCCAGACCAGGAGCACCCGTCTGCGACACTCGGCCTTTGCAGCTTGCTTCCGCACCCGAGAGGCGCGGCCGTGATCGAGGGCAGACAATTGCGCATTGGATGCTCGGTTCAGCCCCTTCTGATACAAGCGCCCTGGCCCACCGGACCGCCGTCACCACGAGGTTCACATCATGGAGCTCGGTAGAGAGGCTGCGGCGGCTCTGCTCCTCCGCACTATTCTTACACGAGAGAGCAGCGACCAATGCTGCGCGAATGAGAGATCGTAATGACGTGTGTACCTGGGGCCCACATCCCGGTCATATGAGCTTCGATTGAATGGTGACCGCAAAGAAGCGTGGAAATGTTCTCATCGTAGTGCACGCGAGCCGCTCGACGCTGCTTGGCCATCGCCAAAGGTACATGGGCATGTCGAAACCTTGTTTGTCAAACTCCGCGGCAGTCCTTTAGGCCACACAAACCGAGGACGATGGGTCGAGTTCTGACTAAAATGATCAGATTGCAGTCTTTGACATTACATGAAGCAGTCTGAGCGTACGGATACGAAGGTGGCCTGTTGCCAATGGTTCGATACCGAAGACTTGTGGAATTCAGCCTCAACAATGGCAGCTATTATCTGGACAGAGTCTGTGGGACCTCGCAGCGCGAACGGCCCCATTGTTGAAGTACGGGCGAGGCAGGCGGGTGAACTCAGCGCACATAGGCTATTAGGAATGTCCCGAGACCAAGGGCATGGGTGTCACTGTCGGTCGCATTGGCTGCAGTCACAGCCAAGCTCGTACCATCCCTGTGAGCGCAAGCATGCTGGTCAGAATCAGCTTCCATGTGCGAGGATCGATTGAGCGCTACTCACGCGGCTTTGCAATAGCAATAAATGGTGGTGTCGTGTGAGAATTTGCCGAGCTCCCATTTCTTTCCGTTGACCGCGCCGCAGTTGGCCGTCCAGACCGCTCTCAGCTTGTTCTCATCCCAGAGATTTGTCGGGTAGGTCAAAACTCCTGCAAAACGCAAAACGCACGGAGCTCAGAGAGGAATAGCAGGCAGAGCAAAAGCACAAGCCTCGTCAGCTTCGTTCAAGGGTACGTACTGAAGAGATTGCCGTAACCTGGGTCGTCAAACCCCTGCACACAGCTCCAGAATATCGAAGCAGCGATGGCAATGAGCAAAAAGTTTTGAGTGAGCATGTTGACGAGGTGAGTAAGCTACGAGTGATGGACCTGTTCGATGTTGGTCGTGCGACACACAAACTGAGGCGTGTGGGCAAGTAGGTGGCACGCTGCCTTTATATGCTCGAAAATCGAGCAAACGTTAGGCCTTTCGTAAGAGAAGCGGTATCGAGATTCAAACCGTTGACCCTCCCCTTGCCCGATCAACAGCTGCCCTTCACTGCCCATACATCATCATGGATGCTCCTTTCTCATTGAGCGCAGTGTTGTAGGTCGAGCACCCGTTCGTCCGGAATGACACATCCGAATGGAATGCTAGTCTGAGATGGTCAAGGTGCCAGCTCCATCTGCTTCTACTTCGGCGGCCCACAGCTCCAATGACCTTCAGGTCCAAGCAAGATCACATGTTCCATAGGGAAAGTGACGGCGGCGATGAGGATACATGTGGTTCCTGAGCATAGCAAAGGCCACCTTGAAACGAGCAGAGACCAAAGATGCTTGTGCCCAGGTACACTGTGCAAATGAACTCCGGCGTCTTGTCGGGGACTGAGTACAGAGTCCTGATCGAAGCGGCCCGTCAATGAGGCCTAGCATTGCTCTCGGACGCGCCTTTCCAATGCCGTCGTAGCCGGCGCGAGCGTGATGTCAGATGCTCGTTCCTGCGTGTCTTGACCGGCTACTTGGAGCCCGCATAGCCGGAGATTAGAAGCAAATGAACCATGTGCAGAAAAGAGCTTCCAAAGGTCCGGCCGTTGTCTTGCGGATGGAGTCGACGTCCTTCATTGGAGGCTCCGCGGAGATGGATTGGCGGTCGACGAGCGTGCTGAGAGAATGCTTACAGTGACACGAGCTGATGATGACAGGTTCTGCGGTTTCTTTGATTGGTCGCGCGTTCTAGCTGCCTGGAACATGAGAGCTAAGTGCCCTCCGAATGAGGAAGTACCTCTGGAACAACGGTGCCACACAGCTAAGGTCGTGCGACAGCCGAGTCCCTAAATATTCAGACTCCTACCTGGTCCCGCCACTTTTCCAAACCCCTGATCATCTCCAATGAGATTCTCTTCTTGGTGCTACGGATGGCGCTCTCGAAATGTCTCTGATGCACGTGCTCAATGTCCATGTCTTCGTCTAGAGCTACCATACCGGCATCTTGGCATATAGCCACCATTTCCGCCCCGGAATGCCCAGAAGTCTGGAGCACGTCATTGCAAATAACACAAGCGTGAGAGAGATGTTCATCAAAGGATTCAGAGCAGCACTTTAGTCGATGGTCTCGGCGTCGCACTCACAGCTCGAGCGATAGCTAGCAAGTCCACCTTGTCCCCGAGTGGCATTGAGCGCGTGCGTATCCGCAGAATCTGCAGACGCGTGTCTTCATCTGGTGGACCGACGTAGAGTAATCGATCGAGTCTTCCGGGTCGCAGGATGGCTGGATCCTGCTCGGGACGCGAGATGTCGAATAGTCAAAAGACTTTGATCGACATGCAACAGTTCTGCAGACGTTCTGCCTGCACTCACAATGGCTTGAGGTCGATTCGTGGCGGCGATGACGACCACGCCATCGAGGGAATCTACGCCATCCATCTCGGTCAGCAATGTCGCGATGACCCCATCCGAAACTGCCCCTCCTTGGTCGCCTCGAGTAGAACAAAGAGCGTCGAGCTCGTCCTGCCAACGGAGAGGAAGTCGCCAAGGCCGCAAATCGATCAACAACGCTGGTACACATACAGCAGTTTGGGAAACCCCTCAAAATCAGCGGCAACTTACAAAGAAGATAATGGACGGCGAAGCAGCTCTTGCCCGTGCGAATACTTCCCTCAGAGCTCTTTCGGATTCGCCGACGAACTTGTTGTACAGCTGTGGCAGAGTGATTGGCAGTCAGACGAAGTGTCATTCGCAGTGCGCTTTCCGAGCCGACCGTCCACTCCGCGCATTGGGCGCGGGACGGATTCAAAACTTTGCGCACCTCGTTGCCCTTGACAGCCACGAAATTGATTCCACTTTCCGTCGCCAGTGCTCTAGCAATCAGAGTTTTTGAGCACCCGGGCGGACCATAAAGTAAAGCTCCCTTGGGAGGTCTGACGCCCATCCTCTTGAGTTGTTTACTTCTTTTGATGGGCCACTCTACCACCTCTCTTATCTCCTTGCGAATTCGATAAGAGTCGGAGTCGGGAGAGCCCACGCCTATATCACTCCAGGAAACCGTAGGCAGAGTCTGAATCACTTCTCGCAGAGCCGACGGTCTGACGTGAAGCTTGGCACTGGTAAAGTCGCGCCAGTCCAGCACTCCACTCGCATCAACTTTAGGGAGCACCTCACTCTCGTGCTCTGAGATGGTCGAGGTAGCCAGCGTCAAAGCGCGCAGAGAGTCTGTGGCACTATCGATAGATTTGGGTGCCTCTTTGAAAGTAGAAGATGACGTCGACACGAGCTGACGCTGGACAGCCAACATTCCGGCTTCCCTGACTAAGCTTGCCAGATCAGCTCCGACGAAGCCATGCGTGGTTTGTGCGAGCCGAGAGATCTCTTCGTCGCTCAGCGCATGAGGCACGTGACGCAACAAGACCTTCAGGATTGACAATCTCGATGATGGTGTAGGAACGCCTGACGCAAGTATGAGTGCCAGCGAGTGTTAGCGTAATCGCCTCTGCACACTCAGGCGCCCAATTTTGAAGATAGCTAGATTTTCGACAGCCTCTCGACTCACCAATCTCTATCTCTCGATCTAACCTTCCAGGTCTTCTCAGCGCAGGATCGAGGGCATTAGGTCGATTGGTCGCTGCGATGACAATGACATTTCCCTCGTCCTCCTCTTTCCCAAGCCCGTCCATGAGCGTGAGCAGGGTTGCAACAACTCGCCTCTCCACCTCGCCAGCTGCATCGTTACCCGCGCCTGCTTCCCTTCTAGGAGCCAAGGCGTCAATTTCGTCGATGATAATCACCGACGGAGCGCGCTTCTTCGCGGTCGAAAATACTTTGCGAAGCCGAGATTCAGTGCGACCGTGCAGACTGCTCGAAAGCGAGGGACCAGAGAGGTGGATTATGGAACTTGAAGACAGACCTAAAGATTGCGCGCACGCTGAGGCTAGGGATGTCTTGCCTGTGCCGGGTGGACCATAAAGCAGCACACCGCTCGGCGGTCGAAGTCCTGCGCAAGAGCACGGAGCACACAGGTGAATGATCCCCCCGACAATGAGCAGTCAGAGCATACATCCTCGGTCTGCCGAATCCCAGCAAGACTCACCATAAGTTCGGAAGACATCAGGTCTCAGAAGAGGCATTTCCACGAGCTTTCTGAGATCTTCGATGGGAGCGTCCAGCCCTCCAAGTCCTTCGTACGCCTTTTTCGAGCTTGCACTCGCTTCCTCGGCCCCACTAATCGACGCAGCCTGCCGTCGTGCTGGAACGTCTGAGCTGACGCGTGCCGAGTCAGCTGGAGGAATGCATATTCGGTACCGAGTTTGTGAATCGACCCTCCGGATTGAGGAGGTGAGCGGATGGACGTCTTTCGCCTGAGATGTCCTAGGTTGACTGCTCGTGCCTCCCACCACCTCTTCCCGCTCTCCGGTTGGGTCGTCGAATTTGAGGCGAACAACAAATCGCGCATGACCGATTGAAAATTCTTCCTCTTGATCAGGGAGAACTAGGTTTTGGTGCTCTATGTGAAACAGGGACGGTGGGGAAGACGAAGGCGAAAAGGCTAAATAAGCTGACTGCTCACCACAGCTGTAGCACATAGCTCGAGCCACAAGGCTCAAGAGGCTTTATTTTAACGACAAGTACGCAACACTCACCAAGTCGCATGTTCAGAAGGGCATTCAAAAGAACCTTTTCTTCCTTGTGGAGACGATGTATCTGCGCTTCGCTCCTGCTCACGACCTCTGCTCGCAGCTTGGTGAGAGCGGGTACAGCGTGAGCTGACGAGGGAAGTGCATACAGCGAGGCTCGATCATGCTCCACCCACGCCTTCTTGCCGTGTCCCTCCAGCAGCACCTGCGATTCTCGTTCCTGCCAGCCATGATACCGCGGAAGATAGACAGCGTCGGAAGGAAAACCATTCAAAGGCCATACGTGCTTGATGAAGAACATCTTGCCCTTTGTTAGCGTCCCACTCCCATTCATCTTGCCCTCCTCGCCCGATCGACCAAGCACGATCAATACCTTTTGATTCGTCTTGAATCCATGGCCTTTGATCGTGGATGCGCTGAGATAGCACCTTGTGTGGTGCTGCGGAGAAGCAGTCTCCAAATCAACGTGCATGTGCGTGTGGTCCGAATCCAGCACGAGCTTCAAAGGATCGCATTGCATCGCACCACTGTGACTGCCATTCCCGCCCTCCTCCGCCTCTTCTTTCAGTGCAGCAATAGTGTTGGCGCTTGCATGATTGCGCAAAGGAGAGCTGCTGGATGCGGCCGCATGGCTTCTGCTCACAGACGAAGAAGCTGCTCGAGATTGCTGGACTTGTGCTTGTGCTGCCAGAGCCGATGGACGTGGCGGTAGGGGCATCAACCTCGCCGTGAGCGCCTAGGCCGCGCTTTTGGATGCCAGGGTGGGAGCTAAGAAGGCTCAAAGTGTCAAGTCGGCAAGCAAAATGTTGGCCACGTTGACGTTGCTTGGTTTGGTTGTTCACAATCCGAAACGAAGGAAGGGTGCGAGAAGGGACGAGCTACCCCTCGACTACCGGCGGGGTATTGACAATCAGTTGAATCAAGCAGCCGAGATTTGCTTTTAATTTGGAATCAAACCAAAAAGTCTGTGGTGAGTCCAGTCGATTCTTGATTCTGATCCAGGATTCAAGATTCACGATTGGAATTTATGATCATTACTGCAAGTTATCTCGTACGAGAGTGGACGCGGACGCGACGATCCAACAAATACGCGACTGTGACTGCTGGTGCACGCGGTGCCTCTGTTCTGACCTGTCGCCTGCTCACGATCCGCATCCTTCTCACTCCACTCACCACTGCCACATCCAGTCCAGCAGCTGCCGTAGCCCACCCATCTGTCTCTCGCTCTCGAGCACTCCATTGTGCGACCTCCAAATCTCTGCGCTAGCCTGTGCAAGGAAACGCATACGTGTACACGCAGCGAGCAGCGAGTAGGCGACTCACAATGTCGAAGAATGCTCCCAACCCTTCGCTCTTCGTTCGGAATCTTGACAATCGGATAAAGAAACCTGGTGAGTCCCACTGCGCTTGCTGTCTTCTTCTATTTGCCTCATGCAAACCTCGCCCCCCTTTCTTTCTTTCTTTCTCAGAGCTCAAAAGACAATTGTACGTCCTCTTCAATGCGTATGGGAAAGTTTTAGATGTCGTAGCGACTCGGGCGGATGGCATGAGAGGTCAGGCGTTTGTCGTCTTTCAGGATCTGGCCAACGCTACCACAGCCCTCAGAGCTCTAGAAGGGCTTGAATTTTATGGCAAGAGCTTGGTGAGTGAGCGAAAGGGATCGGTAAGCGACACCGGGAAGCAGCGCGAGCTCTCTTGTGCGGTGTGTGTGACGAGGAGGTTAAGCTCCGCACTCTTCTTTGCAGTCAATCGAATACGCTCGGACCATCTCGAAAGCTACATTGGTAGATCAGCACGGTCCCACAGCTCTGTATGATCCCGTCTTGCTTTCCCAAGCCAAGCTGGGCTCCAACGGGGTGCTGAGCACAGCGAGTGGCTCCAATAGCGTGCCCGGGCCGGGCAAGGTGACGATCAGTTCTGCTCAGGCGGAATCCAAAAAGAGCGGCAAGAGAGATAGGGAGGCAGAAGGAAATGTGGGCGAAGGAGATGAGGCGGATAACAAGAGAAAGAAGGTGCAGGGGGAAGAGGGTGACAGCGATGAGGGAGAGGGTGAGTCTTTGTCATGCGTTACGAGCTCGACACCAGCTCAGTCAGATCTCACCGACTTGATCGTCAATTCCCACTTGTGCGACGCGTGCAGCTATGCAAATGGACTCGGACTCGGACTCGGATGCCGAGTCGCAAGGAGAGCGCAGAAGAAATGGCAAAGCGCTGGGAGCGCCGTTGGCAGCGCCAGGAAAGGTGCCCAACGAGGTTCTCTTTTGCGGAGATGTACCCGAAAAGGTTACGCAAGAAGCTCTGGGAGTCTTGTTCAGCCAGTGAGTCGCGGAAATGGGACACGGTGTGTGAGATCGCATTCAATGTCTGAGGCGAAAAGCAAAGCCGAAAGAGGCGTAGAAGGGACAGTGAGAGACCTACTGCACAAATGGATGCTGATCATCCGGAGAGTGGGGCGCGTACCGGGCAAAGCAGCTATCTCGCCACGATCACAAACCGAATCGCGCTGACAATAGTGCACCCTCCCCTCCGTGCGTTGGATTGCGCTCTATTCCCAACCAGGCAAAAAGGCTACGTCTCGCTACAGCATTTCCCAGCCGAGGCATCGCGCAAGCCGCCGACGGCGTATGCGCTCGTAGCATTTTCTGGGACGCAAGAGGCGACATTGGCGCTGGAAAAGATGAGGAATTTCAAGCTTGCTAGTGGAGAAGAGTTGAGCATTGGATTCGCCAAGAGGCGGTGAGGACGGCACGGCACGCAGTGATCCCTTGCAGACTGCACGAAAAGCGCGGGGCAAGGTGATTATGACGCATTTGCCGCGCTGAGCAAACACGGAAGGTGGAGTGGAGTGGGCTTCATATCATGGTTCGTTGAATCCCTGAGATGTGCTCACGTTGTACGTACACCACGTCATGCAAGTCAGCGTGCTCGAATACAATCCTTGCTTTATCCCCTATCAAGCTTTACTCCAGATCGGACATCTTCTCGCGCGCCAGACCGCAAAACTCGGTGAAGATGCGTAGAATTGCTGCGTCAAAAGCTGAGCGAGTCTGCAAACATGAAACGGATGCTTCGTTGGTCGAGTCAAAAGGAAAGAATTTGCGAGTCGAAAGGGCTCCGTATCGATAGCGTGTGCGAATTCTTGAAGCAGTGGGTGTATCAAAAGCTACATGTTGATCTTGATGTCGAAAGTTATTTGGTGCGATCTAGGTCTGACAGGTGCCATGAGGTCGTCATCGGGATCCATGGCGCTTGCGACTCATAGTCTGGTGGCGCGACGGAGAACATTGCATGTACGGTACGAAATGATTCGGAAAGCGCTTGCTCAAAAATTCAGGATTTGTCCGAGGTGCATGGGCAATTCGGCTGCAGAAGACGAATTTGCAATTGTGAGAACTTCTCAGCACTTTTCGCGCCAGCAGAATACAAGCCCAAGCCGCTCACCCATCTTGCATCCCAGTGCTAGTTCCAGGGAGCGCAGCGTTTCCACATCCCCGCGTGAGCCACCCGAGCCGGTGACGACGTTGATACATACGCTGGGTCTGCCCAGTCCCGCGCTTGCGCCTGCAGAAGCAGCGCAAGAGATTCTATGGGGGAAGATGGGATGATGTTCACATGAGCGGCGCTCTCACAGGCAGGCCCGCTTGGTCAGATGACTCACTTTTCCTTGTACTCCTCGACGCTCCTCGGAAGGTCATAGAAGACTACTAGAGGCACTTGATGAACATCTCTAGGGTTGACGGCCAGGTCATGCACCACAAGACATTTCCTGCCCGCCACGTTGCCCGCCGAGCCCGGCCCGCCAACCACCGCATGTGAAGCCGCTTGATAAGCGTTGCCCGTCGTGCTGCCTCCCCTGAACTTGGCCAAAACGCCAGAACGCGTAGATGGTGCCATTTCCTTGGACTGGTGCGGTCGAGCATATTGATACGGTGACTCTGATCAGACGCGGGTCATACCTGAAGCAATATTCGCAACGCGCCTACTTACAAGGGCCAACGCTTCGATGCCTTTGCTGGCCAGCTTGTACGTCACAGCTTCCAGATTTGCGGAGGAAGAGGTGTACACTACCGCTTGACCAAAATCAATGTCCTCCAAAAGGTCCGTAATCACGTCCCTGAAGGGAGAGAGGCGAGGGTCTATCAGAGGCACGTGCAAGTCGCGCGCCACGCATCCAGGCTCACAATTTCATCTCCATGCCATGTTGATTGAAGCTTCCTTGACCAAGCGAAGGCGTCGCTTTCCCGCTGCTTCCTTCCGTTATGGCGACATATACGTAGTACTGTCGAAGTCCGCGCAGGGCCGCGATGACGGAATCGGTCATGGCACCGTTCTGAGCAGGCGGCGCGCTGACGGCATGGGCATAATGTTGCGGTTGCGAATGAGCGCTAGCAAAATTGTGAGCCTGCTGTTGTTGGGAGTGCATCTGAAGCGGTGCAAATCCAGATTGACCTTGAGGGTTCGGACTTTGATAGGTGGGTGTGTTTCCGTGATTGTTACCAAGTCCCATCGTACCGGAGCCCACACTCGGCGAAGAAACGGCACCAGAAGCGACCGCGTTCCAGCCTGAACCAGGATTACCATATGTTGTCGTGGCGAGCAGCGCCCCTCCGCTGCCTTCACGACGAACAAGCACCCTGACGCTTTCCCTCAAGTGGATGGACTGAGCAAAGTTCAAAACGTCTTGCGGGACGGTGTTAGAGAAGATGGCCGTCTGCCTTTCGACAGTGCTCAAGCTGTTCTCCAACGAAGTATACGGATGTCCTGGACCGGAGCTCGCCGGCAATCCGGGCGATACAAGTGGACTGCGCGCAAGGTCGTCGCCAGACGCGCTTCGCGGTGCACTACCTCGGGCAGGTGGCAGTGCCCTCAAAAGAGTAGAGACATAGTCCGCCAAATTCCTTGCGATCAATTGATCGACCTCGTCGAGGACGACTAGTCTGATGTCGGCAAGTGTAATGACATTCGAGCCTCTCAGGGACAGATGATGGAAGACTTCATTCATCTTTTGAGGCGTGCCAACAATCAAGTGAGGCCGACCGGAGACGATATTGTTCGCTTCCTGAGTGGGTTCCACACCTCCTCCAGCCGCAATGTGGACCCTCAGGCCCAGTGCTGCTCCAAGACCCAGAGCCATACGTTGTGCCTGCGTGGCCTGGTCGACGGTAGTACTGATGATGACTGCAATGGGTCCACGTGTACTGTTGTTGGCAATCTGTGGCTCTCCACGGAGCACATTCAAAGTCAGCTGCAGAGCAGGGATGACGTAGCTAGCGATGCGTTCCTGCGTGGGCGGGGCTTGCGCGATGATGTCGCTCCCACGTAGAAGAAAAGGCAAGGCTCTCTGCTGAATCTTGTTGGGCGGTCCAAGGCCGTACTTGAGTATGCACCGAAGCAGATCAATGTGTAGGTTAAGGTGCTCCCACTTCGTGACGACCACGTTGGCGTCGGGAGGTGCCATGGACAAGGCGCTGCCAGCATTGGCCGCTGGACCATTAAGGGAACCGACGTGAGCACCCGGTCCGGCAAATCTACCAGTAGACTCGATGTCCGGAGTGCCATTGCGCGCAGCTCCAAGCGCAGGCGTGCCCATGCTTTCACGGCGAATGTTGGGATTCAGAGCAGGCGAAAAGGCACCTTGACCTACTCCACTCCATCTGCGAGGGTCATTTGGACCCAGAGAATCCTTTTGCCCCGGCGCCTGGTATCCGCCCTGAGAACCTTGATTACCAGGCGGTCCCGCTCCCCAACTCGTGCGATTCGGGTTGTTCCCTGCCCCTCCTCCTGGGCGGGGGCTCAGCCTGCTTTCCGAGCCACTCATGACCTGCGATGCATGTCCCGGATGTATGCCATGCGCCGGACCCGGGCCCCCCACGCGAGGGCTGACGGAGCGCTCATAGGGGTGCATAGAGTTTGGACGTCCGTGAGCTGGTCCCGACAGGTGAGGCGTGCCAGGCATGGTTCCCAATTGCGGCGTGGAGATGTTGCCTCCGAGCTGTGGCGTGCTGCCAGGGCCTAGACCGAGTCCCGCCAGTCCTTGAGTTGGTGGCGCATGCTGCGACGGAGCCCCCTGACTACCCGCACTCTGTTGTCCTTGCTGAATAGCCAGCAATTGCGCTACGCTCCCAGTCAGTGCGCTCATCTGCATGCTGAGCGAACGAACCTCGTCTTGTGCTTGTCCGGTTCCGACCGCAGCCGACTTGACATCGCTAAAAGGAAGAGGGGAATGCGCCTGTCCTCTTGGTGGTGGGTAATTCTGTTGTCCATAGCCCTGAGGCTGCGGTTGGTGCATGTGCCGGGTTCGATCCAGCAAAAGGCTAACATTCCTGCTCAGCCCACTGAGGGTCCTAGTGACATCCTTGAGTCCGCCCTCAAGCCTGATGATGCGATCCAAGACTTCGGTAAACAACGGGGAGGATCGGAGCAAAGCGTCGTTAGCATTGTTAAGGTTGCCTGCAACACCGCCGCGATTGCCATCGAAAGTTGCGGTGTGCGCATCAGTGACCGGAGTAGCAGCTGCGGCTGCTGCGTGACCCAAGCTCTGATGAGAAGTAAATGGTAGCGACTGTATGCTACTTGAAGAGTTGGGACGATCGTGAGGAGGACTTCCGAAAGGCGAGAAAGCCGGGTTGCTGGGCGGTCCGCCAAGCGTAGCGGCGACAGAGGTCGAGCTACCCGTCGCACCGATATTGTTGGGAATAGTCAGACTGGGAAGTGGTGCACCGCCCTGTGGTTGAGCGGAGGAATTTGCGGCTGGCAGTGATAAGAAGGCGCCCGAGGAAGCGAGTGATGGCGAGTGCACCGATCTGGCTGCTGGGAATGGATAGCTGTCTGTGTTGAGACTGCCGCTGCTTCCCGAGCTTGCGTTGCCAGGTTGTTGGCCATTGACCGAACCGTATCCTGCAGGGCTGACGGGGGTTCCGACAGAGCTTTCGCGATTTCGCGCTGATGTGTGAGGTGCTGCACCACCACCTAAGCTTCCACTGCTGCTCGATGCATTCATCACTCTAGGATTCGCTGTCACCTCTGACGAGTCGGCATTGTTGGAGGATACATGCGTGGTCATCCGTGGCTCCTCCTCCGCCTCCTCCTCCTCGTCACCATCCACCAGCTGACCGACCATACTCGCGCCGCGATGGTCCGCATCGTCATCCGTCTCTTCCGCAGTAGAAGCCGCGAGGGCAGCAGCGCTGGGAATGTTGCGCATGGCAGGTCGCTGTGATGCGTCTGCGAGATCTGCTCGAGGTGTCTGATCGATGTCGGGCGATCTGTCTTCCACTAGCAGCGCAGGCATACTGGCAAGCTCGCTCGCTTCCCCGCTTGATGGCATTTGTAGATGAGACGAGGCGCTGACAAAGCTGGGTGAAGGGGACCTCAGGCTGGCTGAGCGATAGGGTGATGCAGCCCTATCTAGTCCCCTCGCGGCGCCGTCACCCGACTGAGAGCCTTGGCTGGGGCGATTGAACAGGTTTGCAGTGCCAGTGCCTAGACCACCGGACGAAAAGACTGAGTCCGAGCTTGCTTGAGGGCTGGGTGAAGCGGCTCCGCTACCGCGATGACCGCCTATCGCACCGAATGGACCGCCGCTGAGGGTTGGCGTGCCGCTGCGTGAGGAAGGTTGCGCTGCTCTGGAAGGGCGACGCTCGACGCTGACTCCTGGCGAAAGCTGAGAAGCTAGAGAGCTGGCCATGGTCAAGGGCCGTGCACAAATGAAAAGAGAAGCTGCAGCGGTCGAGCACAGCACCCTTGGCGATCTTCAAGCGTCGTTGTATGGCCTTGAGTATGAGATGGTGAACGATGATGCAGGGGACCTCTTGGGTTCGACAAGAAGTGTACAAGAGCACGAGGCTAAGCAGAGCTCAATCACAGTCACAATCAAGAATGAAGCGGCCCCTCACGACCCTGGACTCGCGACTGGTGACTTGACTGCTTCACCGTGCTGCTGTGACTCTGAACTGGATTTTGGACTCAAGACTCGCGACTGCTGACTCTTGACTGTGACTCTTGACTCGGATGAATGTGGATCGCGAATCACCAATCGTGAATGCACACACAAACGCGCGCGCACTCGTGATTTGCGGACTCTGAATCAGTCACAGTCAGAACCGCAATCTTGACGAAGGCGCGCCTAGCGCGGCGATGCAAGGCAAATTTTGAGCTGCTGCTGCTGCTGCTGCTGCTGCTGCTGCATGCTCTGCTGCTGCATGCTCTGCTGCTCCTGCTCCTGCTCCTGCTCCTGCTCCTGCTCCTGCTCCTGCTCCTGCTGATGCTGCTCCTGCTGCTACTCACACTGCTGTGACTGTGTGACTGCTGGCTCTTTGGCTGGAGCAGCGCCAGGATCAGCAATCGCAATCACAATCCCCAACACGAACATGACTCTATCGTGAGCGGATGTGCAGCGTGTCGGCAAGAAAGTCATCATCAGACTCCAGCAACACATCCTCCCTCGCACTTTGTGAACATGCATATACATATATATATATGGTCATCCTTACCATGAAGCGCGCACTCGAGCGCGGGGGCCTGGCCTTGACAAGCTTCTTCTGCAGTTGAGCCATCTACGACCACACCATGCTGATCACCATTTGTGATTCACTCGACTCATCAGACTACTCAAACTGTCGTCAGTGGCTCACTCGACTCATCAGACTACTCAAACTGTCGTCAGTGGCTCAGCTCTGTGTGGATTGGAAGCCCCTATAATCTTGAATAGCTTACAAGTGGTGGGACACGCACAGCAGGTATAGACAGACGCAGACGTGCAGCAATTAAGCAGCAAGCAGCAAGTGCTCAATTTAGCATGTCACGCACCAGCGGCACTTACGACAAGCGCATATATACAATCACGAGTCGTGAAGCATCGCGTACGTGAAATGGTGAATTGAATGGCCAGGATCGCGTTATGTCCATATTCAACATTCAAGATTCACATTCTGATTGTGATTCAGTCCGTGCACACTCGCGATACTCCTCTCGCGACTCGTGACTCGTGACTTCGTGATTGCACGCGCGGACGCGTCAAAGAGTCGAATGCGCGCAATCTCTCTCGGCCGATAGAGAAGCGGCACGGCGGCTGCGTGCTGCGCCCGACGTGCAGGGACTTGGCCTGGAAGCATCGACCGTCGATCATGGATGCAACAACAAATGGCGCTCTTTCCATGTACCAACTTCAACGGTGAGGAAGGTGCCGATGGCTGGCCCCAGAGCGCGAAAAAGGCTCAAGATATGTGTCTTCTGGTACTGATTTACCGGCTGGGTGTCCAGTGTCTGTCCTTCAAGACGGAAGCCATTCAAGGGTCAAGAGCACAGGTCATCGACGCAAGGTGACAGATGTAACGCCAACCGTGGGCGAATTAATTGTAGGATCTCGGATCGCTTGTCGCATCCTGAATAGGAGCTGCATGGTCATCTTCGCATCCGACGAGACGATGGAGCAGCACAGTCAGGCTTCAAAGAATGAGTTCGCAACGTCTCTCCTTCAGCAGACTCCTCTATTCCGCTTGCGTCTGATCAACATCGATCACGTGCTGTGCGACCCAACACCTTACGACCGAGCTACATCAGCTTTCAATCCGCCAGACCAGCCTCTGCTGCGCAAAGTGCCCGTGCTACGCATCTTTGGTGCCACACCGCAGGGACAAAGAGTGTGCTGTCATGTCCACGGCGTGTTTCCCTACACGTACATCGAATACACTGGCAGTCTTCGACCAGATTTTGGTAAGCAAGCACACACGATCCGCCTTCATGCATTCGCAACTCACTTGACGCATCGCACCCATGCTCGCAGTCCTTTCCTACATCTCGCGCCTCGGAAGGAGCCTGAACGCATGCATCTCAGCCTCCCTGCGCAAGCTGTCCACCACCTCTTCCCACATCGCATCCATCCATTTGGTGCAAGGCGTGCCTTTCTACGGCTACCATGTCGCTCCGCACTACTTTCTCAAAATCTCCTTTGTCGACCCCACCCACAACTTTCGCCTGGCCACGATCCTTCAGAGCGGCAAGGTGCTCGGCACCAAGTTCCAGCCGTACGAGTGCCATATTCGGTATCTACTCCAATTCATGCTCGACTACAACTTGTACGGTTGCGACTTTGTGGATCTAGAGCATGTCAAATTCAGGCTGCCGGTTCCTGGTGAGCGATTTCGGCAAAGCCCGTCCATGCTTAGGCATTTCAATTGAAGTACACTCTGTCCCCAACAACCTTTAGAATCGGCAGGGAACAATCTTGGCGCAGATTTGTGGACGAAGGAGACCATCGCGCCATCACTTATTCAGGACGACCTGTACCACCGCATCTCATTCTGCGCGCTCGAGATCGACACCAAGGCTTCCTCCATCTTAAATCGACGCCTGCTGAAAGAACGACCGATCCACTCAAAGATACCCGAAGCGAGACCTTCCTCCAGTGCGCTTGCGCAAAAGCTAGTACCTTCATTAACCGATCTATGGCAGGAAGAGCAAAAACGGCGGAAAAGGGATGGACTGCCGCCTAGTATCCCGGAGCCGGACTCGGTGGGAGAGAAGAGAAAGTACAAATCAGGCGAAGCTCCTAGATGGATGGCGAGCGACAGGTTCGATGCCTCGTTGAGCGAGAGGCTAGCTGTGGATACAAAGATCAGAGAGGAAAAAGGATGGGACAGCAAAATGTACGAAGGCGGCACCTCTTACGATCGCTACATTGTCAGTGCCTTCGATTCTGTCGAACTCTTTCACCACAGTGAACACGAGTATGAGCCAGAGCCTACGCAGAACCAGGCTGGACCAAAACAAGAATTTGAGGGATCGATAGGCCCCCGAATGTACGATTTGGAATTTACTCTAACACAGCGCCGCGCCACACAGCAGCAGGCACGTTCAAATCCCGCTTCGTCGGTCTCTGGCAGTCCGACCAAATTGGACTCCGTACCAAGCTCCCAGAGCGCAGAGGGCAACGATGTCATTCATGCGGGTGGAAGCAGCCTCGACGACTTGTTGTCTGCATCGCAGCACACTTCTACGAGCTTAGATGAAGATGTGGATACCAGCTTCTTCCAGAGCAGCGCGTTCCAAGAGGCGATGCGAGAGGTGGAGAAGGCAGCGATTGGTGCCGAGAGGGGCGAAAATCTTGGAGATGAACACGATCCGCTCGATTTGATGCCCAAAGAGCGCACTGCGGACGCAAGCAGGTCTGCACCCACTACGCCTTCGAGAGGAGGACGTTTTGTACCACGAACGCCCACTTCGCTTCGAAAGACGCCCACTTCGACCCAATCGACGCCTGCGAAGAGACCCAGCGATGCGTTTGTGACGCCTACGAAGACGAAGCAGCACAAACTGAGCGAAAGCAAAGCGTCTGAAACGTCTGTGACACGAGCACAAGCGCGTTCACCCGATGCCGAGGATGAGGCCACGCCAAAAAGGAGCGCCACGGATCCTATACAGCCAGGCAGTGGCGCTGACAAGATGCGCCAGTATCTGGGGAGCAGCCAGGAATGGAGGGTCAGGCCGGATAGCGACCTGAGTCAAAATAGTCATAGTCAGCTCTCAGAGACGGGCGATGGACGTGACCGGAGTACTCGGAGGGATCGAATGATCAGCAACCAATCTGATGGTAGTTCAGCCACAGAGGCATCCAGAGGCGTGCGATTTGCGGACTCGGCAATGGATTCCGCAGGGCCAAGCGTTCGTATCTCGCATCAGCGTGTGGAGTCGTCCAGCTCGACGGGTAAGAACACTGGAAGCTCGACCTCTGTGACGGAACCCAGCGCATCGCACGACTCTCTCGCATCCGCTTCAGATCGCTCCGCCAAGCCTACGAAAGCTTGGCAGTACGGAGTGCCAGCTCCCCTCACTTCAGAGGTGGTCAACTCTTTCGGGTTCTTTGGATTGCCAACGATTGACTACCAGGATCCGTACTACTCTAATCCTGCCGACGTACCCAAATCAGCTCGAGAGTACGCAGGAAGGAACTTCAAATTCAGCAGCAAGACTGTCAAATTTCTGCAACCTTTCTTTGCAGCACCGCCGGATGAGAGCGACTCCGTGCTGAGCCCTACAAAGGCTGCTCGGGATACAAGAGAAGCGCAAAAGGCGGCTCGGCATGCTCGAGCGCTGAGTAAGCATCAGTACCAGTGGACGTTCTGCGCTTCTCCACCACCTCGACATCGTGTGCAGGAATGGTGCGGGAAGCATCGGCAGTCATCTGCCGGTCTGCTAGCTGCGCCTACGACGCGCACCTCCAACTTGGCTCCCCCGCGGCAACAGGGCGGAAAAGCTACTCAAGCTGCCAACACCGGATTCAAGCTCAGTCAGCGAAAGCCCACTGTGCTGGCTGAAGAGAAGCAACACATGACCACGTTTGCTATCGAAGTGCACATCTGCACCAGAGGCTCGCTCATGCCCGACCCACGCAAAGATCCCATCTCCGCCATTGCCTACAGCTACCAAAACGAAGACGAGAATTTAGAGGACACGGGTAGCAGACCGAACCTGCTCAGCGGACTGATTCTGTGTACGCCGGACGAGGGTGCCGAAAATGGCGCTGGTCTGCTCAAGCCGGAACGACTAGGTCTGGGGAGGCTCAAAGTTGACATCGTTTCCAGCGAACTCGACCTTTTCAACAGTCTTATCGATCTGGTCAGGGCGCTAGACCCAGAGATACTTGTAGGCTGGGAAATTCACAACAGCTCGTGGGGCTATGTCATCGAACGAGCACTTCGAGAGCTGGATTTTGAGCTCATTGCTGAGCTAGGTAGGGTCAATACCGGCTCGACTGGCATCAAGGGCGACAAGTGGGGCTACACGCAATCATCAGCGATGAGAGTGACGGGCAGACATCTGCTGAACATTTGGAGACTGATGCGCGGCGAATTGACTCTTGGCCAGTACACGTTTGAGAACGTCGTCTTTCAATTGTTGAGAAGGCGAACGCCTAGATTTGACCATGCGACTTTAACAAAGTGGTATAGGTCTGGCGTGCCGCACCTGGTCAGAAAGACGCTGCTGTACTGGATGGACAGAGTGGAGACGGATCTGGAAATCCTGGAAAATTCGGAGCTCATTTTCCGCACAGCGGAATTTGCTCGCATATACGGCGTGGACTTTTTTTCCGTCATCAGCAGGGGTAGTCAATTCAAGGTGGAGTCGGTCATGCTTCGCATTGCGAAGCCGGAAAACTTTATCCTTCCTAGTCCGAGTCAGCAGCAGGTGGGAGAACAAAATGCGGCGGAGGATCTTCCTCTCGTGATGGAACCTCAAAGCGCCTTTTATAAAGGGCCGCTTGTAGTGCTAGACTTTCAAAGTCTTTATCCTAGCATCATGATAGCGTACAACATCTGCTACTCGACGTGCTTGGGCAGAGTTAACAAGTTCAAAGACACTTGGAAGCTTGGCTTTACCGAGTATGCACCACCCGACGGTCTGCTTTCGCTGCTGATCGAGGATTGCTTTGTGTCTCCTAATGGACTGGTGTACGCCAAGCCACACTTGCGCAAGAGTCTACTTGCGAAGATGCTGACCGAGATCCTGGACACGCGCGTCATGGTCAAAGGTAGTATGAAGGGCTCCAAAGATCGAGCATTCAAGCGGCTCCAGAATGCTCGGCAGCTGTCCCTCAAGCTCCTCGCCAATGTGACTTATGGCTACACAAGCGCCACATTCTCTGGGCGCATGCCATGTGTCGAGGTAGCGGACAGCATCGTGCAGTACGGCCGAGAAACCCTGGAGAGGGCCATCACTACCATTCATGCAACGGCAGAATGGGGTGCCCAGGTAGTGTATGGGGACACGGACAGTCTGTTCATATACCTTCCTGGGCGCAGCAAGGACGATGCATTTCGTGTAGGAAACGCGATGGCCGAGACCATCTCTGCCGACAATCCTGCTCCTGTCAAGCTCAAGTTTGAAAAGGTGAGCATGACCCCTGCCTCTGCACACGCTGAAAGGTACTGACGTGGGCGATTGAAACGGCGTAGGTCTACCTGCCGTGTCTTCTCATGGCAAAGAAACGCTATGTTGGCTTCATGTACGAGACGCCAAATCAAGAAGAGCCTGCCTTCAACGCCAAGGGCATCGAAACCGTCCGTCGGGATGGCTTTCCAGCGCAGCAGAGAATGGTCGAAGCTTGCATTCGCATCTTGTTCCGCACGCAGGATCTGTCTCTCATCAAATCCTACTGCCAGAGACAGTGGAGAAAGATCATGGAAGGCCTGGTCCCCTTTCAAGACTTCATCATCGCGAAAGAGGTTCGGCTGGGCACATACAGGTAGGTGTGGTTCTGCGCGCAATTTCTGGCGGTGATCGATGGCATGCCAATCAAAGCGATTCATTCCCACCTGCAGCGAGAAAGGCGTTCCGCCGCCTGGTGCGGCGATCGCTACCAGGCGGCTCATGATGGACAGACGCAATGAGCCCCAGCATGCCGAGCGTGTTCCGTACATTATAAGCCAGGGTCAACCCAGAGCGAAGCTGAACGACCAAGCCGTTTCGCCTGAACAGATGCTCGAGAATCCGTGAGTCGGCAAGTGTGCGTCGGAGCCTAGGACGTAATCGTGACTAAAAGTGCGCACCCTCTGTGTCCATTCCTCATGGCCCAGCGCACTACGCATCAACGCAACGTACTACATTGAGCGTGGTCTGCTGCCTCCGTTGGAGAGAATCTTCAACTTGATGGGCGCCGACGTCTGGTCCTGGTACAGAGAGATGCCAAGAGTGGTGCAGAGCAACAGCCTTCATTTTGGACTTGCTGGGCCACCATCTCCAGCAGAGTCGAATGCCGTCAAAGGCAAGGATGTGGGCCTCAAAGCGTCCTCGGACTTGCCAATGGCTGGCAGAATGACGCTGACGGATCACTATCGATCTGATCATTGTCTCGTCTGCGGACACAAGACCGAGCAGGGTGAGTGAGGAATCTCGCGCCAGATTCTCGTCTTTACGACGTTCCGCGCAACTCCCCCAATCTCAGCAGCCCATGCATGCATGCTCACGCGCTTGCGCCCCCGCTCCTCGAACGCCTGCCCAGGCGTGTGCATCGATTGTCGTCAATCACCTCGCGACGCGCTCTCCATGCTCTTGACGGACGTATCGCGCAGCACGTGCCGTCTGATCAGCATCATGCGAGTATGCGCTTCGTGCGCCTCTACCACTGGTCAATCCTCCTCCTCCTCCTCCTCCTTCGCCGCATCCCTCGACACGCCCGCACACCCACAAAGCAGCAGCAGCAGCAGGCACAATTGCCACAATCACAATCACCCTCCTCCTCCTCCCTGCCTATCCGTCGATTGTCCGGTACTGTACGAGCGCGTCGGAGCTAAAAGAGACTTGGATAGGGCTGCTAGGATTCAACAATACGTAGAGGTGATGCTCGAACAGTGAAAGCTGTCCTATTTTCCCACAACCCGCACAACCCCGCAAATCCTAGCAGACCGAATGTGTGTATAGTAGTCGAATCGCCTTTTGCATTTCATGCTGCTGCTGTCACAGTCTTTTCTTTCGTGAGGCTTCATGTCTTGTGCCTGGAGAGGCATGGGCCGCGGTGCAAGGGCCCCACGGGAAATCGACTGCTGTTCAATATATGAGCAGGCACCACGGTCCGTGATCAACTTAATCTCTCGAGCCGGCATTTCAATTCAGGCACACGAGGCGGGCGGGGCGAGCGACCCGCCGGGTAAGCGCCACGTAAGCGCCACGGTTCACACGGAAATGAAAGCGGAGGTCAACAAACATTGGGATTGATGCGTCCGTGACGGGGGTGGCGCAGCTGCGCTGTGCGGAGATGCGAACTAGGAGAGGATTAGAAGTTTGTCGAATCGCAGACAAAAAGGGACGCATATGGGCAAAAAGGCTTGAGAGTTGGCTGGTGTGAACCATGATCTGTGGGTTGGGCAAGTGTGGAGGCGAAAAAAGAGACGAGGCGGATTTGCGTTCGGGGGCTGGTGCGCCTCACTTTGAGATGCGGAACGCGTGTTGATGACGACGATTGTCCATTGGGCGAGGGAGCTGCTGCCGGTAATGCGGCGCCCAGATGACCGTGACGAATGGCAAAGCTAGGGGCGCTTTGCTTAGTCGAAGTCGGGCTCGGGGACACCGGTGGGCGCAGAGCGAGCGTGTGCGTTCCTGCGGTAAGGTGTCTGGGTAGCAGCGCGGTTCTTGACGGAAGCGCGAGCAACGCAGTTGGAGGAAGCTCCGGGAGCGTGAGCTCCGGGGGTCTTGGCCTGGCCCTGGTAGAAGGTGGAGACGGAGCCGTTCTTCTTGGTGTAAACACCGGGGTAGCCGCCGTTCTCACCCTCGCAGTCATCGAAACCGTCACCGTAGTTGCCGGGGTGGTTCCACATAGCTCCCATAACGTCGTAGATGTGGGGGCAGAGCTTCTTGGCGTCCTTTCCAGGAGTGCCGCTCAGGCAGGCACGGAAGGAGAACTCGGTGGCGGACATGAAGCTGGACCACTCCTTGGATTGGACCCATTGTCCCTCGCGACCCTTGAAGTTGCGAGAGAAGACGAGGCCTCCGGGAGGGTTACCAGCTCCAGTAGCACCGTGGGGGTCGAGCTCACCGCCCTCATCACCAGCGTCAATCTTCATGCTGGTGAAGTCACCGAAGCCAGTGACCTGAACAAAGGTGGGGGTCTTGAGGAAGTGTGCCTTCTTGATGGTGCCGTCGGGAATGAGACGGGTGCCGTAGCCGGAGCGAGTGCAGTAAGAGTACATCTTCTCCTCTTGAGCACCGACGGTTCCCTGCTTCTGGGGAGCTGTGTGTGATGATGGTGAAAGGACGAAATTAGGAACCGTGCGGGTAGCGATACAACATCCCTGGCATACACTCACCCCAGAGACAGAAGTCAGAGACACTGTTGATGAAGATGTTCTGGCACTTGGACTTGGGGTTGGAAGCGCCGTACTGCTTGCACTGGTTGGTACCGATTTGGCCCTGATGGTGAACGCGAAGGGTGTGTGAGTCAGCACGAGCGATACTGAAGATGTCTGTTGACCAGCGCTGAAGAGCCATCCAAGTCGTCCACGAAACAGGCATGCCTGGCTTCGCGTAGGAAAGCATGCCATGTGCAAAGCGGCATAGATCACCGGCCCCGTACTAGGGCTTGAAGGGAGCTTCAAGAACCGTCGTCCCTCCCTCCATCGACGTCCAACAACCTTGACTCACCTCCTCCCACTTGTCTGGCAGGTTGCTGACGGAGAAGTTGGGCTTGTTCTGAGCCTCAACCATGACGGCCGAAGATACGGCCACAGCCAGGACGGCAAAAGCAGAAGAGATTTGAACCATTGTTGCGATCGAAGGTTTGTGTGTGTTGAGGGTTTCGGAGGAGGGGCAAATGCGAAAGAGTGTGTGGTTGTTTTGAAGAATCAAGAGCCGATACGGGGGCTGGGAGAAGTTGAGTGAGGTCTTGAGTACGGGAAGTGGAAGTGGGGTTCGGGGAGGAGTGTTGTGGAGATGAGGGACGGGTGAGAGCGACTGTATTTGCGTGGCTTTGAATCAAAATCTGGTAGTGGGCAGGGGCAGGGGCAGGGGCAGGGGCAGGGGCAGAGCGCGGGGTGATATCAGCCTTGGGTTTGAGAGTTGCAAGCTCTGTGTGCGGCCTTGCGCCGGCAGGCTCGTTCAGGGCAGCCTTTGCCCTACTGCGATGCGCTCGCTGCATTGCACTGCAGGACTGGTGCGTAGTCACGAGTGTACTGCATGTATGAGAGCTGCTGAACGGTCGCGCTCGGGTGCTAGTTGGCATCAGCACTTCGTGTGTATGTTCGGCGACCATTGATCGACGCACAAGAGCGTGCGTGCCATGCTTGCCTGCCTTCGTAAGCGTCGTGGGCAGCGTGGGTGTTTGTCTCTTTGGGGGGGGGGTTCATCCCTCGAGACTGATGAGCCAGACAACAGCAGAAGAGAGACTGTCGCAGTGGCTGGCAGGGGCGCGCCAGAAGTTCTGTGCATCTCATGCGAGCTACGTTGCGAAGGGGGCGGACATGCGAGAACCTGCATGCATGACCTGCATATTCGCATCAGAAGAGCCTCTCCCCGCCCTCCCAGTGTGAGTGAAGTGGCCTGGCTGCTCTATCCGCGCCTCAATCTTTTGTATATGTAGCGGTCGGTCGGTCGAGCTCGAGCCTCGAGCCTCGCCTTGCAAACGGCGGCTGACCGCTGATGCATGGCGGTGCCGTGGCTCAGCACCGTCGGCACTGCAACACCCTACGCGCATGGACGGGAACCGCGGGGCTTGGTTCATCAGTTCGGCAGCACGAGCAGCCTCGCCTCGCCCCGGAAGACCAACCCATGGAACACCATGCAACCCCACTCACGTTCCAAACTGACCCGTCGCAAACCCCAAGCCCCCTCATCAGCTAGCCAAGGACGAGGGGCTGAGGGGCTTGCTTCCCTCCGACCAGAGACTTGTGAATGTCAGAGAGGCGGGCGCGATCCGTTCAGCCATGCTCACATGCTTCCGCGTTTAAGCAACAGCCAATTCTTCTATACCGGGTCCCGTGGCCATTACAATTGAAACTGGCGTCTCCAGCAACAATAACGAGCCTTTCGCAATGCTCGATGAACGTCTTTCGGCGTACACATTCGGAGTTGCTTGGCAGACATGATATCAACTTTAAGACCGCAGCAGCAAGAACAGCCAGCCAGCCAGCAGCTGGGCACATGCAGTATCCGCAGAAGACTGTCCTGTCGTCACACAGAGAGAAGAGCGTCCAGATTTAGAAACGATCACCCCACCTCTGCACTCTGCTTGATGCGTATTTGTGCTTCATGTTGCGGTCGGCAGATTTCAGCTTGCCGCTTCTCAAGTCACGCTTACAAGAAGGCCGAGCTCAAACGCTAGTCTAGTAGTCGCACAACGTCGATCTCCCTTCATTCATGCCGTGAAAATGCCCTTCATTTCTCGCGATTTTCGATCGAGGCAGATCTCCGGGGCTCTTGCGCTGCTGCTGGGTGCGATTCGGGCAACGAGGCGGCCTCATCGCGGCGGGACATGAATTCGAGCGCGCATATGCATCTTCGTGCATCCATCGGTCCAGGCTCGCGATGGCTTATTGGGCCTTTGGACGGCCAGCAAGCCCGCGACCGCACATCCCCGCCGGGGCGCGGCGGGCGGCAAAGGCAGAATGTTCATGCGCGCGCGTGAGCATCATGCTGGCGAGACTCGCGTGCGGGTGGCGCGCGGAGATGCCCGCTCGAGTAATTGCTGAGTCGACTTGTGACTTGAGCAAATAGAACCAGCACGAAACAGATACGTTATGAATATGCAAAGAGGTCGGGCGGGATGCTCAGAGCGTGGCGCTGCATGAGGCTTGCATATGCTGCATACCTGCAGATGCATGCATGCAGATGTCTCTCGCACAGTCGAGCTGTGCTGTATACGCGCAATCACCTGCTTTAATTCGTATTTGCTCTGGCGCGTTTTGTCTTTTCCGCGGCTGCGCGGTACCGATCGATCGACTCCATGGGAGCCGCTGCTGCCCGGCCGTGTGACAGCTCCGCTTCTGACGATTCAAGAGAGTCACGAGTCACGATCGAGTTCGCGAGTCGTTCGTTGCGAGTCGTTCGTTGCGAGTCGTTCGTTGGTCTATCAAGTCACATCAGTCGCATGTCTCGAAGTCGTGCGTGACCTTCATCTCACCGTGCGTACAACAATTGCGGGTGCATGGGTGCATTCAACATTCACGTGATTACAGCAGGTCCGCAATCGCCAGTGGTGCGCATGCAAAGGCTTCTGATCAGGTGCTCGCAACGCGCTACTCGTGACTGTACATGCCGAGGTCTGACGTGCTGGCAATCAACCTCGTACTCTTGCGCGTCATCTTCACTCCACGCAAAGCTCCTCTCATAAAGTTTTTGTATCCTTTCGTGAATAAAGGCAAGAGATGCATCGCCCTCGAGATGGACGGGGAATCAAAGCGCACACAGCAGCACGTACGTACGGCGCACAATCAAGGGTCCTCCTCCCACCATGCACAATCCCCGCCCCGCTTAACCCTAACCCCTCGCCATACTCGATCGCAAAAGTCTGGGCGCATGGGGCCCTGCTCTTTTGGTTCAAAAAAGCGCAAAGAGGGGGGTGTGTGTCGAGGGTACATAACTATACAAAAGCTTCCTTGCCCCCCCACCCCCCTTCCAAGCTTTCGCGACTGCCAAGAACAACAAGGGCATGCGCGTCTCGCACCCCCCCCCCCTGGCCCAGAACACGCGCGTGGCGCTCGCTCCCCGCTGCCGTCGCGCGTCTATAGGCGGCTTGATTGATCCCGCAGTAGTGGCGCTCAGCCTCGGCGTGTATCGACGATCGTCTCGTCTGGTCAAGGTGCCTCCAAAGCACTTTGGCATCACACCACCACGGCCTCACGTTCCAGCTCAACTCGAAGGGGGGGG